AAGCAAAGCTCCTTTCTGCTTATAGTAAAATGCATGAGGAAATAAACTGAGGAAGAAACTGCCAGGCAAAAACGGACCAGCACTTCATGATTTGAAAGGTTCCAAGCCAATCCAGATACAAAGGATGAAAAGATGAGGAAATTCACTGTTGGAAAGTGTGCTTGGGAGAGAGGGCCAAGGATGCACCTGGACACCCTGTTACTGAAGAGGTTAGATAGGTGACACATGGATCCACTCAGCCATCTCAGCAGAAGCCAGGGAGAGAGATGGGGTTTTGCAGGAAGGACCTGTGAAAAACCCTTTGTCTAAAGGTGTGGGTTGGCTTGACATACACAAAGGACCAATGAGCTTTTTAAGAATGTTACATCAGAGGAAAAACACTGCCAGCTCAGACAGAAGGAACAGAGACAGAAAGAATGAAAAGAAGGCTATCAAACTTCTGGGATTCTCCAAGCAGGAAGTGGGCTGATTGAACTACAAACATGGGCTACCACTCAAGAAAAAGGAAGAACATCTCCGAAGACAGAGCTGTGGACATAGAGGCAGAGGACAGAGAGACAGGCTCAGGGCCAGGGGCCAACAGGACCACCACCCAGAGCCCAGAGGACAGGGCATCAAGCCTCATGGGATTCCCAGCCTGGAAACCTCGCAGGATTTGCCCTGCTGGCTTTGGACTTGCTTGGTGACCCCTGTATTCCTTCCAGTTTCCCACTATGGAAATGGGCATGTCTATCCTGTACCTGACCCACCGTTCCATTCCAGAAGGAGACAAGTTGTTTAGCTTCACAGGTGCACAGATGGAAAGAAAGTTTTCCTGGGCTTGGGCCGTACCCAGAGTCTCACCCATGCCTAATTTAGATGATTGAGGTGATGAGATTTGGGACTTTTTGGGTTGATGATATAGATGAGATTTTGGACTCAAGAGTTGATGCTGGAATAGGCTGAGGCTTTGGGGGGTGTGAGGATGGGATGAGTGACTTTTGCATGTGGGAGGGATGTGAATTTTTACCACCTGGTAGGAGTTGTCTCTCTTTATTGTTCTTTTATTCAGAGTTCTACTAACTTTTCTTGTTTGTTTATTTTTCCATGTGAACTTTAGAACTGGCTTGACTAAAGCACCACACCACTCCCCAAAACAAAAATGAAGACCTAAAATTGTTGGCATTTTAATTGGGATCATCACATGTATAAATTAACTTAGGAATAACTGTTATCTTAATGATACTAAATGTCTACTTAAAACCTATTAAGACATATTTGCCTGGCCAATTTATTATTGATTCCCTCTTCCCTTGCATCCAGATTCCTTGAAATCCTTCTCCATTTACATGTCAAATCTGTTCTTTTATCATCTCAGTTCTAGGTATTCTAAAAGATGCAAAGTAGAATTAGACAATGATTCTGCTCTGAAGCCATCTATAATTTCATAATGAAGATATAATGACAATTCAAATTTACAAGAGAAAGTAGTAAGTATCCAACAAAAACAGAAAAACTTCCTCAGGATCTTAATAGCCTAAAAGGACATGGTACATTGCAAATCTGATCGCCATTTCCTAGCTGAAGGGTCTTGTGCAATTCATCTGAAGAATGATTGTTCTAAGTAAACAGAGAGTTCATTTAGCTTTGCTCTCAATCCATTATAATCAAGGCTTATTGAACAGCACTATTTGCAAGGTACTGACTGCTAATCATAGGAAATAGAAGCCAGGAGAACAGAGTCTCCCCACTTAAGCTACTTAATATCAGAACTCAGAGAAGAATAGGGACAAAGTGCTAGAGGTGCCTAAAGGAAGTGACACCACACTACTAGGAGACAAAGTGGATCTTCAAGAATGGGTAGGAAGTTATTCTTAGTTTGTTTGGGGGGAAAAGTGACAGAGGGTAGGAGGAGAGGTTAGGACCAATTAGAAGGCTACTATAATATTCCAGGCAAGAGGTAGAGGGTTTAAACTGAAATGATGGCAGCAGGAATGATACTGAGTCTATTCGATACCATGGAAATAGAATTAGAGAAATTTAGGAACACATTGATAACTGATTTGATCAAAGGTAAAGGGAGAGAGGGTTATCCACATGGGAAAGAAATTAATATTGACTCCTACCTCACATCATAAACAAAAATCAATTCGAGAGGTGGATTTTAAATCTAAATGCGGATGTTTAAAACAATAAAATTTGTAGTAGATAACAAAGGAGAATATTTTCATGACTTGAGGCAGGCAAAGATTTCTTAGATAGGACACAAATTATACTAACCACAAAGACAAAAATTAATAAATTGGATCTTATTAAAATTAAGGACTTATCTTCATCCAAAGCCACCTTCAAGAGAGTAAGAAGGCAAACGCAGAATGGAAATAAACACTTGTATATTTACCTGGAAAAAGCTTCATATAGGATATGCAACTAACTTGCGTGAATTAATAAGAGAAGAGAGATAACAGAAAAATAGAAACAATAAAGATAATAGAAAAAAGGGCAAAAAAGTTGACTAGGTATTTCACAGAAAGATAACCAAACGGCCATTTAGTATATGAGAAGGTGCACAACATCGTTACCCATCAGGAAATAAAAATTAAAGCCACAATGAAACACCACTACACATACACCAGAAAGGCTAAACTAAAAACCACTGACAATACCAAGTGTTGGTGAGGATGTGGAGCAACTGGAACTCCTACACACTGCTCTGAGTGTAAACTCCTACAGCAACGTTCAAAAACTCTGGTAGTATCTCCTAAAGAAGGACTTACATGTACTCCATGATGCAAAAATTCCACTCTTAGGTAAATACCCAATAGAAATGCCTAGATATGTTCACCATGCAAAAGAATGTTCAGAGGAGCATTATTTGGTAATTCTCTAAACTAGAAACAACCCAAATGTGCATCAATAATAGAAAGGACAAATAAAATGGGTTATATATTTTTTTATAATGAGATGCTATACAGAAATAAAAATGAACTACAGTCACATTCAAAAATATAAATGAATCTTACAAATATAATGAAAGATGCCTGACATAAAAGAGTACATTCTGTATGATTCCATTTAAATAAAATTCAAAAATAAGCAAAACCAATTCAGAGGTTAGAATATTTGTTATCCTTGGAAAAGAGAGGGCAGTGGAGTGGGATGGGTCCAAAGGGGGGCTCCTGGAGAGTTAGTAATGTTCTATTTCTTATGGGTACTGGTTACCAGGTGTGTTCCCTTTGGATAATTCACTGAGCGATACACTCATGATTTCCATACCTTTTGGTGTGTATGCTATCTTTCAACATGCAAATCCAATCAGTTGGATCCAGAACTTTTTTCCTGGTTAGTCCCAAGGCCAGATGGCATAGTGTTTGGTTCCAGACTCTGGAATTGCAGGGTCTAGATTCACATCCTGGATCTAACCACTTCCTATCTCAGAGGTCTTGTCCACGTTACTAACTGTCTGAGCTTCAGTTTCTCCATCTGTAAAATGGATGAACTGTGGTACCCCTCTCATTGTTACTGAGGGGATTGAATCCTCTCCATAAATGTTAGCTCTTGGGGTGGTCCTTTTTGTTCTTTGTTCTATGGGCCGTGGAGAAGATGGATGACAGCCTGTGGAAGAGGAAGGAAAAGGATGAGGGTCAAGTCAAGAGACATTTTCAAGATGAAGACTGAGGGGGAAGATACGATGTTGAGGTGAAGGGAAAAGAGTTCAAAGGCTTGGCTTCATGCCTTTCATTTCCCATCTCTCAACTCCTGCCCATCTCTAACACGAGAGGTGGACTGACCAGGTGATCTCTAGCTGGTTAGTCTTTCCAGCTATAACATTCTGGAGTTGGGAAGGCAATGCAAATGTCATGCAAAAGCCAAAAACAAAGTTTTGTGTTTTATCAAAACTCAAACACAAAGACTCAGAAACTTGGGAGTTAAGGAAGGTAAATTCTCAGTGGTGAGATTATGGGCTATTTTTATTTTCTTCTTTGAATTTTATTGCTATTTTATATAATAAGTGTGTCGCTTACTCAGAACAAAACATCATGCACGATGTATCCATGCCTACATATTTATATCCATATTTTTTTTAAAAAAAACTTCCAAAATTATAGATGTGCCAGAAACGAGAACCTACCAAGCATCTGGGCAGGGAAAACACTGTTTCTGATGTACAAGGGCCAAGCCAGAAGGGCATCCTGGGGCAAGACAGACGTATCAGTGACTGCAAATAATTCCTGGACATTTCCTATTTTTTATTGTATTTTCCCTCAGTTATCTACACTTTCTCTTTTTCCCAATAAAATTAGTCCAATCTTACATTACAATATTTCACCTTGTTAATAAAACCCAGGACCAAAGAAGGAGAATAACAGGGTTTTCTAATCACCATATCTTAATCTCTGAATCTAGTCTGGACAGAATGATCACTTCCTGGAGGAAGTTGTCATAGGGAGCGTTTACCAGCCAGTGGAATAGGGACCCCTGCCGAGGGGAGGGATTGTCTGAGGAGTCAGGTACCCCACATACATAGGAAACCCTCACCCAGGCTCCGCCTCCACCCAGGTGCCGCGGGGAGCATTTACCAGCCACTGGAACAGGGATCCCTGCCGAGCGGAGGGATTCTATGAGGAGCCGGGGACCCCACATACATAGGAAACCCTCACCCAGGTTCAGCATCACCCACAAGCATTTTCAGCTCTGCCCATGAGGACTCTGGCTGGGTGTGTGGGAAAGAGCCAAACTCTGGGAGAGTCAGACCAGGACACTCCAGGTATTCACGCATTTACCCAGGGAGCACTCACTGGGTCTGAATTTTGTGCAAGACACTGTGCTAAGGACAACTGAAGTTGAATAAAAGTAAGGCATACTTGACCTTCAGGAAACACCTTCCATGGGGGCTGTGAACTCCTGCATTTGACAGCAACCAACGTACAAGCTGGTTCAGAGAGGAGAGGTGACAGGCACGTGAGAGGAGGGGTCAGGCTGAGAGGATGGGACACTTGTCACTGGTAGGGACTGGAAGTATGGGCGAGTTTGGGATGTGTGGAGACAGAAGGATCCCAGCAGAGGAGCAGGATGAGGAGCGGCAGGGGCAGGAGGCATATGCAGGGAGAGCGGGGAGTTTGCTGAAGCAGGAGAGTCAGGTGGGAACCAGATGTGGGGGCCTCTGGGGTCCTGGAGGGACTGTGGGTTGGACCTGGTAGGGGCTGCAGAGTCGGGGAGGGGCTTTTGAGGAGGAGAGTGGCTAGGTCAGAGATGTATTTGGGAGGGGTTACGTGGCAATGGTGGGTTGGATGAATGCAGCTCATTGTTATAACTCCATTCAAGCTTGAGGCCTGAACTGAGCCCTTCAACCTCTTTTCATCTGAGGAAGATTTGGCCTCTTTTAGAGACGCTGTCTGCTTCTTTCTTAGAACCAAGCAATACTCTGTGCTACTTCCCAGCAGAGGTTGGTTTTAACCCAGGCAAAGAGAAGATGGATTTTCTCGACCACAGTGGCTCAGAGCTACATCCCCCGTCCCCTCCTCGTTTTCAGAATATTTAGTGCGCTGCTCTGGACGCTCCTGACTCCTGACGTTTCCCCTTGCAGAGAGGAGAAACTGCCACCTGGAAAGGGTTGACTACTTTCGCTGCTCCATGCCCGACCCAGGCGCTCCGGTTGCCAAGGAAGCGGGGGCGGGGCCCGCGGGGCTCCCTGCCCTCGAGGTGCCTTGGAGACCAAGTGTGTCCTGTTGCAGTTGAGGCTGGACAGGCCTTGGGTGACTTGCTTGTTGCTTTCGGCAGGTGCGGGCCCGGGCGGTCCCCTGCGCGCAGGGCCTCCCGGCGCTTGACGGGGCTTCGATGGGATGTCCAGCGGCTGTCCCGCTCCTTGGTGGGCTGGGGGAGAGGGCGCATGAGGGAAACTTGCCAGGTCTTCTTAGCACAGAGTAGGTGCCTAATTTGCGTGGCTACAGTCAGTCTTCTCCCTCCCTGTACTTCCCCCTCACTGTGTCCAGTGGCGGGTGGGAGGTGAGGGGGCCTTCTTGAACCGTGTTCAGCGTCACATTGGGGGTCCAACGCCGGGTCAAAATGCCCCCAGCTGCCACCTTGGGCGGGTCGGCTTTTCCCAGAAGAGCCTGGGAGAGTGAAGCACAAAACAATAACCATTTATTGTTGTTCACCCCAAAGTCCCTCTCGGATCTGCGTGCGCCCTGCGCGGCTGGCAGAGCCCGCCTTCTCCAGGAGTTCGGTTCTTGCTTCAGGTTTGTTTCTTTTTCGCTTCTTCGCCCTCTCCGTTGTTTTGCTTTTTGTTTAAAATAAAATTCCTGAGGCCAGAAAGGCGCCCCGATGCTTTCTCCCGGAGCAGAGGGTCTCAGCCTGGTTTCTCAACCTCCAGGTCACAATAGAGACCAAACCCAGACACATTCCTGGACAACGGCTTCCCGGCAGGGGCGTCCAGCCGGCGGCCATGGTGTCCTCAGTGGGGAAGGTGACTCAGGTCCCCAGCGGGAATGTCTACCAGCAGATCTTCGAGGCTGAGGTAGGCCTGCCCCTCTGTCCCCCTCTTTCTGCTTCCCGATTCCCTCTGCTCCCCAAACTTCCCTCCCTCTGAAGGCCCCTTACCTGGGAATCTAATGAAATAGGGCTTTGAAATTGCTTTGATTTTAAAAATAATTCTTACTGGTTCTTAAAATGTAGGAATACAAAATTAGAATGTCTATTCTTGAAAGTTAGACAATTTAAATTAAAATTTTAAATTAAGTTAAATTAAAATTACTCAGAAATAGCCAGAATTAACCATCGGATACCTTGGGTCTTTTTCCTATGCATTAAAGCATTTCTAATTTTTCTATTTAAAGCTGAGTTTGATTCTATACTCGTGTTTTGAAACCTGCTTTTTCCCTGTTAACAGTATCTTGTGTCACTGGGCGTTCATGTACTTCTCCACATTTGGTGGCTGCCTGGGACTTCCTGTAATGTATTAAAGTGACGCCCTCTTGACAACCATATAGGTTGTTGGAATGGCCTTGTTGTCTATAAAGAACTGCACAGACAAAATTATGTCTTAAAAGAAACACACACTCAAACCCTTCCTTTGAAATTCTGTGCTGCTTATTTAAAAGGGACTTTCATTCCTACTTTGAGCCCTAAATAGTGCTCTCTGTAGAAGGCTTGGAAATTATAAAAGCATAAAGAGACCAAAGAAACTGATTACTCACGTGATCCTGCTTCCTGGAAGCAACACACCATGCTTAACATTTGGCAGATTTTCTTCCAGTCGTTTTTCTATACATTTTAAATTTTGAGCTCATACTGTATAATTTTAGTTATAATTTTTATTCTGTGCTTTTAATTGATATGCTTGATGGTATATCATATCATAAGCATTTTCCCATGTCCTAAAAAAATCCTTCCCAAGCCTCATTTTTAGTAAATGCCTGACATTCCACTGAAGGGACATACCATGTTTACTCAACCAGTCCCCTATTATTGGACAGTTCCATTTTTACAATTCCTTGAGATTATAAAAAATGCCTGAATGAGCATCTTGGTCTTCATTAAAATTTCTTAAAAGATGCCTTCCTGGGAGCAGCTGAATGACTGTTCTGGGCTGGAGAGCCCTCCCGCAGGGGGTGTGCCCTGGGGTTGAAGGCCTCCCTGCAAAGCGCCTTCCTGCTCGTGGTCCCCACATGACCTTCTGAGACTGCACAGTCAGCCTCAGGGTGCAGGGAGCCTGCAGCTCTGACCCCCCCAACCCACATCTTCCATGGATTCAGGTGCAGCTGGTCCGCTCCCTGGCGGCCACCAGGAAGTGGGCTCTGGAGTGTTCCATGACCCCAAAGAACGGCAGGAAGCCCTTGATGAATGTAGGGGCACTAGCTTACATGCCCTCTAAACTGTGTGTCCCTGAGGCTCCTTGTCTGGGCTACATGCCAGCACTCATGGTGGTAACAGCCCTAGGCTGGGCTAACCCAGCTGCTTTCTCGTGGGAGAGTTAGCACCAAGACTCTCGAAGTCTGAGGGAACCCGGAGGCCCTCCGGGGCTCAGGGGCTCTGGTCCTTGGAATGCAGGTCACGCAGGAACAGTCCCCTTGGCAAGCACTCAGCCTTTGTTCCTCTGCATACTTAAGCCAGCTCCTCTCAGAGGGCAGCAGTGGGTGCAAATTGCCTGTCCAGCCAGCCGCCACTGGACCTATCCTGTAAGTAACTCCTAATAAACCCATATGTCTCATTTGCTGTCTCTGAGTCTTTTCTTTGGTCTCTCAGCAACCTATCCCACACTGCTCACCCAGCTGGGTGTGTGGCGGAACACTTGGTGAGCCAGCCAGGAGACCAAAGAAAACCGAGTGAGTGCTGAGACTGTCTGGGATGGGAAGGAGAAATCCGTAGGGGTAATACTGGGTTGGCTGGTGTCCTCCCTGTGGGGGCCGGTTGTCACCATCCTTGATGGATGGGGCCCGCTGTGTGAGTACAGGGGTGCCCCCAAAATGCCGAAGGGCCTAGGGGAAAGTCCTGGGCATGAGAGAAGCCCAGGCCATTGCTACAGCTGTGGAGTCCTGGGCACTCCACACTGTAGAATGGCTGGCAATGAAGGCAGGAGAAGTCCTGGGCATGATAAATGTTGAGAGAAAGAAACCAGAAGCCTGGGAGGTAACTGCTATGGTGGGATGGCCCCTCCTTGCCGCTGTTCACTTAGCAAGACTAGCTGAAATGGAAGCTAAGGCAAAGGTGAGACAGCTACAAGAGAAATTAAAATTAGAAAGGAACACATGGCTGGTTGAAGCCAAAACTACCGAAGCTCTGTCAACACACCTCCGGGAATCTGATGAGAAGATAGAGGTCTGAACAGCCCCTCCCTCGGGGGTGGATCCCAGGGACCTGCCTCCACCCGTTGGGAACATGCATCCACCATGAGAGATTACACTGCTGCAGAACTGGTGGAATTGGGGAACAGGTGAACTAAATAGATGTGAAAAAGATAACAATTTGGGGGGGACTTTTAAAATAATTACGTGTTATGGTGTATGTACTTAAAAAAACCCAAGATGATGGCTAATTGCTTTAATGTCACACAAAGTTTTTGTGAGTAATCTAAACATAATTGTTGGGAACAAATGATTTAGGTAAAAATGGGTAAGAGTTTTCAGGTACAATAATTATGTTTTATGGTATAGATGCTTGAAAAACAGCTTCCAAAATCTTTTTGGTAACTTGAAACTTTAGAGTTTTGGTAAATTAAGTTAAATGATCAAGATTCATTGAGTATCTAGGTCATTTACCAAACAAGATAAAATATTAGAAATTGGTTACTAAACATAGATTTGTCTGCCTCTGGTTTCTTATTTCCAAGAAAGTAAAAGATGCTTGAGTTTATTGATAAATATGTTTTGTACCTGCTGAGGAATTTTCTATGAGAAAACACATATTTCTAAAAAGTCTCTAAACAAGGCAAGTAAAATGTATGTTTTCAGTAAAAAAAGGTATAAAGAACAGAGATATTTTTGTTTGTTTTTTTAAGAAAGATAAATTTGTCCTAAGCTGCTACAAAAGAAAAAAAAAGAGAAGAAGGCATGGAAAAAATTCTGAATTTTAAAAACAAGTGACAGAAGGTTTGTGGAAGTAAAACCCTGAGGAGTTTGGTGTATGGTCAAGTTGGTTGAGATTAAAATAAATGAGTTTCAATATCAAGAGTAAAGCAGTCAAAGGCAGAGCCGGGAGGGAGGGCAGGCCAGGGGCTCGTCAGGCCTTGGGCGGAAAGTGCCTGTTGGGGACAGGAAGAGCGCGGTGAGTGCGTGGTCCAGCACCCCAGCGCTGGCAGGGAGGCTGAGTGAAGCGGGACGCTGAGTCCTGAGCAGCAGGTGGCCGTGACTCCCTGCCCCTCCCTGCTCTCTGGCGACACGACTGAGGTTGAGCAAAGCTCAGAGAGTGTCTGCAGTGCGGTTTTCCCCAGGGAGTGGCAAGCACCCCTCAGGGGAAAAAAGTGATAAACAGCCAAACACTGTTCTGGTGGCTTTAACAGCGCCCACAGTGACAGCCTGGGAACGCCCTAGCCCCCTCGACTGGACGGAGGGCCAAAGGACCTTGACCCGTGCCTGCAGCGCCGTGCAGGTGGTTCAGGTATCAGGGGACCAGAAGCCACAAGAGGAAATAACAATGTACTGGTCCACAGGAGCATTTTGCTGTCAGGGGTGAAAATGAGCACAATGACTTCCATCACTTCTCACCTCACTCTGCGGCCATGCTTCTGGAGCACCGCCCGGTGGACAAAACCCCCTGAGGTTACCTTGTTTCATTATATTGATGGTGTCATATTAACCTCTGAGTCTTTTTCAGACCTTCAAGAAGCGTCTCTCTCCCTCGCCGCCCACCTATGCTAACGAGAATGGGTAGTAAACGACAATAAAGTACAAGGGTCTGGGTTATCTGTCAAACTCTTGGTGTTATCTGGTTGGGTAAGACAAAAGCGGTTCCTGCTACTGTTATAGATAAGACACAGGCTGTCCGTCCTCTTTAAAAGTTGGTGCCAAAGGGTATCATCTGGGACTAGGGGACCACCGACCAGGAGGCCTTCTCCCAAGCCAAAATGACAGTAAAACAAATCCAACCCTTGGGTGTTTTAACACAAGGACAACTGTGTGAACTGGATGTTTCCAGTCACCCAGAGGGGTTTGGATGGGGTCTCTGGCAGAGGCAAAGCAATAAACCAGTGCCCCTCGGCTTCTGGTCCCAATTGTAGAAAGGGGCTGAAAACCAGTATAGCGTCCTGGAACAATTGTGTGCTGCTTACCTTGTCCTCCAGCAGGTGGAGCCCATAACCCATTCCCTGCCGGTCACAGTCCATACTCATCTGCCCATTGCAGGGTGGCTGAGGGATGCTTTCCAAAAGCCCCGCTCAGGAACAGCCCAAACACAGACATTGGCAAAGTGGCGTGCATACTTACAACACCGAGGGATCCTCACCAGTAGTCCCCTCAGTGCAGAACTACATGCCCTCCTGGGGCCAGTAACACACACCGCAGAAGAAACAAGCCTGTTAGATGAGGTGCCCATGCCTGAAACCCTGCCAAATGTACAGGAAGGAGGAGGACCAATCCCAGCAGAGGCCTGGTAGACGGATGGCTCCGCAAGAGGTGGCCACCCCCCCAGTGGACAGCGGGGACCATCCAGCCTTCAACCAACAGCATGTGGTTGGACCCTGGCTCTGGATACAGTAGTCAATGGGCTGAACTGAGGGCCACCTGGATGGTGTTGACTTGTAAGCCCAGTCCAATATGTCTGTGCATGGACAGTCAGGTAGTCTATACAGGGCTCACCCTGTGGATGGCCTAATGGGCATGACAAAAGTGGACTATTAATGGTCACCCATTGTCAGGGGCAGAGCTCTGGGATGACATCTGGCAGCAGGTCTTGGGAATGACAATAACAGTGTACCATGTGTCTGCACACCAGGTGACAACACCACCAGGAAACCAACAAGCAGATGAGTCAGCTCAGATTTGTCTCCTGGAAGAAGTGCCAGCCAAAAGAGTGGCAGGGTGGCTACACAGGAAGACCGGACACAAAGGACAAAGGACCCTGTGGGCTGTCGCCAAGGACTGGGGCCTCCTGCTGCGCTATGCTACTATGGTGCAGGTCTGTCAGGTGTGCCCTTCTTATTCCTTACAGAGACCCTGGGCCATTCCTCGGGACACAGGCCAAATTGCCAGAAGCAACCAGCCTGCTCAACGCCGGCAGATGGACTCCACAGGGCCATTGCCTCTTTCTGATGGCTGTCAGCATGCCCTAACTAGTGCGGACACAGCTACAGGACTGCTACAGACATATCCCAGCAAGAGGGCCACACAGAAGACCACCATGAGAGGCCTGGGGACACCTCTGTGCTGCCTACAGTGTTCCCATGGACATCAACGGTGACCAAGGTATGCATTTTACCGGCCACCAGGTACAGACGTGGGCTGATCAAATCGACATACATTTGCATTTTCACCTGCCAAACTGCCCCATGACCATGGAGCTGGTGGAACAAATGAATGGCTTGCTGAAACAACAATTGAGGATGGAAGACAGGACCCTAGCCCACTAGACAAGATACCTGGCAACTGCAATATATCAACTAAATGATCATGAGATGCACTCAACCCAGTACATACCAGATGTTGACACAAGGACCAGACAAGGGCTAATCAAAGAAAGAAACTACAACCACAGATGGGCACTCAGAACAACTTGCTTTTGCCTCTGCCACAGAACTCCCTACTGGGACCCACATGGCCACTTGGCCCTGGGACTAGGAGGTGGGGCTCCTGTCTCTTAACCCCTTAGGGGACAGGCTTAAAACGAGATATCACATACAGATGGCCAATAGGCACATGAAAAGATACTCAACATCACTAATCATCAGGGGAATGCAAATCAAAACTACACTAAGATATCACCTTATACCTGTTAGAATGGCTATAATCACCGAGACAAAAAATAACAAATGTCAGAGAGGTTGTGGAGAAAAGGGAACCCTCATACACTGCTGGTGAGAATGCAAACTGGTGCAGCCATTGTGGAAAACAGTATGGTCATTTCTCAGAAAATTAAAAATAGAATTACCATAAGACCCAGCTATCCCACTACTGGATATTTATCCGAAGAACTCAAAATCAACGATACAAAGAGACTTATGCCCCCCTGTGTTAATTGCAGCATTATTCACGATAGCCAAGACGTGGAAGCAACCCAAGTGCCCATCCACTGATGATTGGATAAAGAAGATGTGGTATATATATATACAATGGAACACTACTCAGCCATAAAAAAGACAAAGTCAACAACATGGATGGACCTGGAGGGTATTATGTTAAGCAAAATAAGCCAGACAAAGACAAACACCGTATGATTTCACTCATACGTGGAAGATAAACAAACACACAGACAAAGAGAACTGTTTAGTGGTTACCAGGGGGAAGGAAAGTTGGGGGTGGGCACAAAGGATGAAGGGGCGCACCTATATGGTGACTGACAAATAATAATGTACAACTGAAATTTCACAATTTTGTAAACTATTATAACCTCAATACAAAAATTAATTTTAAAAACCCGACAGAATATCACAGTAACACCTCCAATTCCCCAAGGCACTTTCATCCTTTCCCTCTGGTGTGCCTTGTTGGATGGTCATGAGCTCCCTGTTCTAGTCCCCTCTAAACATCTTCCTTTTCATCCTTAGGACAATGTCAGCCAGCCTTTCCACTGCATGGACACACACTGGTGCTGACATACAAAACCGCTCCACCTGCTGGGCATGCAGCGAGCTGCGTGCCTTCAACGGCAGGGTTACCATGGCATCTCCAAGCTGCCAACGCCTCTGACGGGAGAGCCCCATGAGAGCGGAGGAGTGCCGCCCACTTTCCCATTCCTACTCCCCTCCACCTGTGACATGTTTTCTTTGGTGTCCTTGCTTTTTTACTACTTCTTTTATTTTCATGTTATGCTTTCTATTGCTGTTGTAGTTTCTGGCTACAGTGCTCCTCTCTGTGTCCGGCTCAAGGGGAACTGCAGAAGACTGGTGCAATGAGATTGTAAGGGCCATTCTGACACATGGCGGGTGGAGTGTAGGGGCACTAGCCAGCATGCCCCTTTAAAACCATGTGTCCTTGAGGCTCCTTGTCTGGGCTGCATGCTAGCACTCATGATGATAACATTCCTGGGCTTGGCCAACCCAGCTGCTTTCTCGTGGGAGAGTTAGCACCAAGACCCTTGTGGTCTGAGGGAACACAGAGGCGCTCTGGGGCAGGGGTGCTCAGGTCCTTGGAATGCAGGTCATACAAGGACAGTCCCCCGTGGCAAGCACACAGCCTTTGTTCCTCTGCCTACTTAAGCAAGCTTCTCTCAGGGGGTGGTAGCGGGTGCACATTGCTGTCCAGCCGGCCACCACTGGACCTTCCCTGTAAGTAACTCCCCAGTAAACCCATATGTCTCGTTCACCATCTCCAGGTCTTTTCTTTGGTCTCTTGGCAACCTATCCTACACTGCTCACCCAGCTGGGCATGTGGGGGAATAATAAAGAAGGTGGATATTCCTGAAGGGGAGATGATATCTCCTTGGCAACGGAAGTGGGTGCACAGCCTACCCAATGACTGGGTCACGGAAAACCCTGTTCTCTACAGGTAGGTCCTGCTGTCGAGGCCACATCCCCACACACTGGGGGTGCATCAGAGTCTTCAGAAACTCAGAAAGAGCTCACACAAGCTGAGTGCCAGGTAGGAATGAAGTCCCAGTGTCCTCCCCTGAAAGAGGGAGGTCATACACTGACCGTGCAGGACCATGCAGGCATTCAGGATCATCTGCTTCTCCCTCCCGTCTTCCCCTCCCCCCCAGTGGCTATTGATTGAGCACCTAGGGCCAGCACCGGGCAGGGGATCCCACCCTCCTGGAACTTGAGGCCTTGACAGTAAATAAATAAGCACGTCCCCGCAAATATGGAAAGGCTCTGACGCAAAGGGTGGGGCGGTGGGACAGAAGTCAGGGAAGCTCTCTGAGGAGGGGCCTCAGCTGAGACCAAAGGATGAGGGAAGGGAAGCATGGGGCGAGGCTTGGAGGTGGGACAGGCTTGGTCCACTCCCAGAAGGCTGAAGAGTCGGTGGGCTTGGGGAGAGGGGCAGCAGATGAGGCGAGGAGAGGCTTGCAGGCCACAGGCAGTATTTCAGACTTTATTGAAGTGAACAGCTGATCCGCGCTTTCAAGGCCTTCAGGCTGCTGTGTGTGGGATGTGGGGGCTGCACAGAGACAGGGAGGCCAGCAAGGAGGCCACCGCAGTCCATGTGAGCTTGGGGGCTGCAGAGGGAGAGTGAGGAGTTCAGGTGTATTTTGGAGGCAGAAGCCACGGGACTGGGTGACAGATTGGGTGGGAGGAGAGGGCTCCTGAGGGTCCTGGGTCTCTGGTCTGAGCGCTCAGGTGCAGAGCGGAGGCACCCTTCCCTGAGATGGGGCAGATGGGGTAGGGCAGAGAGATGAGGAGTTCCTTCTGACTTCCAAGTTTAGAAGTTGAACTTGAGACTCCTGAGCATGCCATTTCAGCTCCCTGAGCTCAGACTCCTCAAATAGGGAAAAAGGAAAGAAAGAAAAATGAGGGGTCCCATCCTTCGGAGCGCCTGGGAGAATGTAGCTGGAGCTGGGCTTCCCTTCAGCTCTGCGCATCCCACACAAGCCAGGAACCCCTCTCTGGTCCAGGACTCTGGGATGGGGAGTCAGTCCTCCTCTGCCTGCTTTTCCCACCCTTCCTCCTCCTTTGGGGGAGGGATTGACCCCATGCTAGGTAAAGGTCTCTGCCCTGCCCTGCCCTTCAACTTTTCCCAGGGAAAACTCCCCTGAGGCTCTGACCTTCAGCACCCTTAACTACCTACAGGTGGGAAAATCCACTGGCCACCCTAGCCCAGACTGGAGGTCAGCGTTCTCCAGTCCATGTCCCTGATGCCCAATGCAGGGATCCAGAGGCACGGATAGCTGGGGCCTGTCCATGCTACCCCACCGCCCAGGAGGATGGTCTCACAGCCTGACTGTGGCTCTGGCTCCCACAAGAGTCCCAGCCTCCTCTCAGCTGACCTGTTCTCATTCAGGCCCCTGGTCCCCCGACATCTCCCTGTGCCTCCCGAGGGTCCCCTCTTCCCCAGGGTTTAGCATCTGAGACAGCATCAGCCAGGAGCTCTTGGCACCCACAGCACAGTGTTTTGGGAAAGGCACTTCTCATGGAGGGTTCTGGCATTGTGCTGTGCTGGCTTCCTGGGACAGACAGACAAGGCCAGCTCTGTGCTGGACACAGATCCAGAACATAGCTCCCTATGGCCTGTGGCAGGAACAGAGATGTGTTTGTAACCTGCCACCCTCAAAATGACTAAGGTCACTAATCAGCATCAGTGTCTCTCTGGGGTACCTTGTCCCCTCTTGAACTTGGCCAGCCAAAGGCAGTCAACTTGCGCATTAATTCAAGCAGGGCAGGGCCTCTGGGTGGAGGAAGAGGAGCCCAGGGCAGGGATGGATCACCACTAGCATAAGCCAAGCCCCCATGTCCCCAGAGCAAGTGGCCGAGAAGCCAGAGCCGACAGCAGCTCCCGTGGTCCAGGCACCTGGGCTCCAGTGGGACTGCCTCTTAGTCCAGGGACATTTGGTTGACAAGGCTGAAGCCCCATGTCTGGAGAGCCAGCCCGGGCCCATCAACTGCAGCCCGGGCCCTGCGGTCTTCCTCGCTGCCAGGTCTGCAGCGAGCACTACATAAGAACATGTCTGGAAAGGGCTGCGCGCCCGGGGGCCCCCAGGAATGGCAGGCGTCCCTGAGAACTGCTGCGTTTCTGCGGTGCTTGCTCTGCAGACAGTGCATTCAGGGATTTTTCCTCCAAAGCTACGCTCATGCTCACCCACCCTGGTCCTCCCTGCTGAGATAGTTTGGGATCTCTCTCCTCCCACACCCAAACCCCATGGACCGTGCACCTTGGCATCACATGTGGGTCTGGGAGGCCCTACTCTGCTTTGTACTGTGACTTCTCCAAGCCCCCTTCCCCTGTCCTAGACAATGGGGTGACCCCAGCTGCCTCATAGGATGGGTGGCTGAAGGAGCAAATAAGGAGCATACTGAATGCTTAGCACTGGTCTGGCTTTCCCGGGCTGCTCACGCCCCTTCTGGTCCTCAGTTTCCACATGGGGAAATGGCTCCTGCTCACGTCCACACTTGGTTTGCCGCCAGAGCAGAAGCAAGCTCCCTGAGGCAGCCCCGGCTTCTCCTCTAGGGACCATAGCATCTGCTGGCAGCAGACACCTGGGCAGTGTTGGTTGAGAGACAGCCATAGCCTGGGGGCTCTCGGGAATCAGGTGGGCCGGGCTATTGCCAATGCCCAGGGTCCCTCTGGAGACTCCTCCTGTGCCAGAGCTGCCCTGGGGGAGTGAGGGGGCTGGAGGTTTATTGTTTTCCTCTGTGTGTGCCTCAGGGAAAAGGAAAAAACCAAGAAGGAAAAATCTCTAGAGAGTGAGAGCACCATTGCTGCCCGAGAAGTCCGGGGCCTCACGGATGCCATCGGTGAGCCTCCATTCAGCCATGAGGGCAGGCCTGGGCTGGGCCAGAAACTGAGCCCTGGGGACACAATCTGGGAGGTCTGATGTAGGAGCAGCTGAGGCTCCCACTGTGTCCCTATGCTCAGCCACATAGGGGACCCTCTCCCCTTGGCCTTATCCACTCACCCTTTTTGCCAGGACATCTCCCTGGGACCTTCTCCCCTGCGCTTCCCCTCAGCCTTCACCATGGAGCCTTCTCCCCTCGGCCTTCTCCCTTCAGCCTTGGCCCATCGGCCTTCTCGCCTTGTCCTTCTCCCCAGGATCTAATCCGCGGGACCTTCTCCCCTGGACTTTCTCCCTTCAGCCTTCTCCCCTGGAACTTCTCCCCCTGGACCTTGCCCCCTTGGCCTTCACCCCTGGAACTCCTCCACTTGGCCTTCTCACCTCGGCCTTCTGCCTTGAACAGTCTGCCCTCAGCCGTCTCCCCTGAACCTTCTCCCCTCAGCCATCACCCATTGGCCTTCTCCCATCGGCCTTCTGCCCTGGACCTTCTCCTCGGGACCTCCTCCCCTCACCCTTCTCCCCTGTGCCTTCTCTCCTCCTTCTTCCTGAACCTTCTCTCCTTTGCAGGGAATTGGAAGAGGAGGAAGGGGCTGCATGCACTGTTGTCATTTACTGATGAAAACTAGTTGGAAAAGGATTTACTTGACTGTGAATTTTTTTCATTGGATTTCTCAGTCTATATTTTCTTCCTTCACCGTACATTGTCCTGGTTTGCTCTGATGCCAGTACGGAGACTCTTTTTCTTTATGATTACAAATAATACGTGCTAACTGTAGAAAAACAAAGGAAGGAGGTAAACAGAAAGTGATAACTCCCCTCCACAATAGCACCCCTTCTCCTCCCTGGAGTGCCCCCCCCCAGCTTCTCACAGAGATTCAGGGGACGTCAGAGCACAGGGAGAGATCACAGACCCTCGAGCAGAGGGCCCACGTCCACAGCCCTCTCAGCCGCTGACTGCCTTTGCTCCTCAGGCCCCATGCCCGAGTGTCCTCACTTGTAAAAAGGGCCTGAGCACAGAAGCTGCCTCCGGGCCCATCCTGAGGAGGGATGGAGCTAGAACAGCACCTGGTACACGGTCAGTGCTGTGTGAGGGTTGGTTATTCTTATTTGCGCAGGTATTTGCTTCTACAAAACTTAAAAAACCACAAATGGTCCCATTCTATACATTAGCATTTCGGAACCTTTTTCCAGCATTTAACTGTATATGTGAGACTTCGTTCCCTATGGCATTTATGGATCACCTTCATCTTTTCTCTTTTTCCTTAAGCCCCTCACACTGCTGGCCCGCTTTGGGGGTCCATCTCCTGAACCAAGGCACTTTCTGCCTGTGCTGCCTTTTCCCAGGGGCTCCCCTGTCGCCCTGGAGCTCGAGGACACCCTCCTCACCTCTGTTGTTCTCCCCCAGTTCCTGAGAGGACCAGCGCCATCACCCTTCAGGGGCGAAGAGACCATAAGAGGAAGGGCTGGCAGAGCACTGTGGGGAGCTTCAAGGAGGAGATCGCTCAGATTGGCATGGTGAGAATCCTCCTCCTCTCTCCCCTTCTGTTCCTGGGCCATTCTGAAGGTGGGCTCGTCACTGCACTGGAGGTCCAGTGGCTCACCAGGGTGTAGACAGAACCGTCGTAGCCATGTTTGGGTGGCTTGTAATGAGTTCCCGTTAGGAGCATAGCCCTGTTACCACCCCCGTTTTACAGGTGAGGCCGAGAAAGTCCTGCCTGACTTGGCACGTAAGGGGCCAAGTAGGAGCTGGGCTCTGGGTGTGATGCCAAAGCCCAGCCTCTGATCTCCCTGCTCAGTCCTACTCGTGAGGGGCCAAACGGCCTGGCCCTGAGGCACCACCCTCACTTGGCTCCCTGTTTCTTTCCAGAGACCTCATCTCCAACCCCACTGGTCCCTGGAATGTCCCTAAATGAGACCCTTTTTTGCCCTTCAGGGTCCTCCCTGAGCCCCAGCTTGCACTCACGGCTTTCTCCAGGGTCTTCTCTGACGCATGTTGCTCCCCTAGATTCCCGGAGTGGGCTCTGGACTCACAGCGCCAAGGAGGCACCCCCTGCCAGCTCTCACTGTCCCGAGCCCTCCCAGCTGGATGTGCACTCTGCTTTCTCCCATGAGCTCTGTTGCTTTGGTCACGTGGCCTAACAGAGCCTCCGTCTCCTCTTCTGAAGTAAACTTGGAATTCTTTCGTTGGCCACTTCTTTAACGAATATTTGTAGAGCCTCAACCTTGGGCCAGGCCTAATGTCAGCACCTACATCACAGGCTGTGATTAGGACCGAGTGCGTCTGAGGACGAGGGCTCAGCAGAGAGTCGAGCGCCCGGCGCATGGCATGTGCCCAAAGTGGTGGCTACCTGTGTGCTCCAGTTGTGAACTAATTAGTTCATCTTAAATAATAATTATTATTATTTCTGAGACAGGACCACGGTTGGCACTTCCTCGTACAGGGGGGCTCCCTCCTGCCCCGGCAGTGTTCATACCACAGCTGTCGCCCTCCTGGCCTGTTTTAGGAAATGGAACCTCTCATCTTGGAGCCAGGAGCACTTCTTCTTAAACAGCTGGCTGAATCTGACAAAGACATCAACAGCCTCTTCAGAAAGGTGGAAAACGACGACAATCTCGAAGACTACACCATCCAAGTAGGGGCCCCTCATGGCCGGGCCTGCCCCACTGGGTCCTGCTCCTTCTCTCCCTGCCATCCGTTCTCCCAGCCTGACCCAGACTTCTCACACAGACCCTGTTGGAGCTGTGGGATCAGGTGGTTGAGAAGTTCCTCCTCCAGAAGCAGGGGATTAAGAAGCTGGATGAGACCCTGCTCTCACTTGAGTTCTCCTGAGCAGACAAGGCAAGTCGGCCTGCAGATGGGCTCTTGGTGATTTTCACTTGTGCGATTTGTGAGGCCTCATGTGTCTCCTTTTAGTTCTCCAGGAAAAGAGTGAGTCACTCACTATGGTGCCCTCTTATTTCTAGCTAAAAAGCGTGTTGAAGAAATACGTGGAAATCATAGAGAAAACTTCCTGTCTCATGCAGCCCAATATGTACAGGCCGATAAATAAAGAAGCCATGGTGAGTAGTTTTCATGTGCAGTGGATCAGCCCACGGGAGAGGGAGCCTGGACCCCAAGACGCCCCAGAGGCTGGTGACTCAGGAATGATGAGCTTTCCACCTGCATCGTCTTGCAGTTGTCGCGGACTCAGGGCAGTTTGCACCCTCATAAGTCAGCCCCGCCTGGTCTGTTTGTCTGTTTTTCTGCTGCCTGTCAGTACCTGTTGCTGAACCATGCCTGCCCCCTAGCTCTGTCCCCACTACTTTCCTGTCCACACCCCAGCCTCCCCCAGCTGCTTTCTTTGGGATAAAAACCAAGAAATTCAAGGTTGTTTGTGATGTCTCCAAAGTCAGAGTTAAGCCTGACTCCTCTGTCACGTGAAAGGATGCTTCTTTTGGCTCCTCAGAGGCGCGTTTTGCTTGCATGGACTTCCAGGTCCTGTGTGGAAAGTTGGGCTTGTCAGACTGTGGGCCTCCTGGCAGCACACGGAGTGAAAGGGGGTCCCGCGTTCAGCACCGCAGCTGGGTTCCAGCCCAAGTGTGTGCCTTGGGCTCCTGGACAGAGCACGGACAGGGAGTGAGCACAGACTCCCTCTTCTCTGCCCAGGCAGGAAGCCTCCTGAGCTAACTCAGCCCTGCACCTGGAACTCCCTGTCCGCGAAGTGGAGACGATGATACTCAGGGGCCAGGACTTGTTGGGAGGATGAGAAAAGAGGGCTCAGCAGTGGGAGCTCTAAGCTTGAGACAAGCTAGAGTCACTGACTTCTATCCATTTGATCCACTCAGGGACCAGAGTTAGTCGGTGTCCTGTTATGTGTGGTTGGTTGATGTTCCTATGCTTATTTCACCCGTTGTGACAACTGACACTTGCTATTTGCTCCATGTGCCTTTATCTCATTTCATTTCACAAAATCCCTCTGCTGTAAACAGCATTGTCTTTGTCTTATGGCTGCAGAATTGGAGGTTCGGGAAATACCTGCTAAGGCCCCACCAGCTGAGAAGGACAGCTGGCATCAAACCTCAGGTTCCAATGACAAGTGTTACTGGAATTTCTACCCTCTAAGCTTGGCTGTTCTCAGCCCTGTCCCAGAGCTGTGCCTGCAGGGCTTTGGGAAGTGTGTGGTGGCATTTGGGGCTGCTCTAGTCCCTAGGGGCATGGGAGAGGCTGCTCTCATTTAAGGGGGGGGGGATGCTAAATGGCAGAACAGTACCACATAATGAAGAACTGTCTCCACTGCCATGCCAAGGCTGCCCAGGAGATGACCACTAGGAGGACAGCCAAAGAAAGTTCTAGCTTTAGCCTCATTTGGTAATTGGGTCCTGGTTCTCGTCACAGCCATATGTGGCTGGTCCCTGATGGCATGAACACTCTGCTTTTGGAACAAATTTATTTATTTTTAAAAAATCAGTTAAACACTGAGAGCCATAACACTGTAGCCCTGAGTTACTGGGCCGAGGAGTACAGTCATCCCTCAGGCGTGGGTACTCCTCTTCCTCCGGGAGCAACTTCCACCCATGGGAGGAACGCGAAGAGACGGCCCCACGCTTCCCCCGCCAGGGGACACTTTTGTTAATACTGACACAAGGGTCCTGGAACTTTTGGCCAACAAGTAAGACTTTCTTTAGCGAAAGGGATGCCTTGGGCCAAGATGTCTGAGGACACTAAAGAGAGTCTGTCCGTATGCGCTGCGGGTCTACGGGTAGGAGGCCCACCTGTGCTTCTGCATTTCTGGATGGAGAGCGCCAGAGTCTGACACTGGGGTTGAAGGAAAGTGTGCCGGGACCTGGCCCCACCTCTGCTTTCCCTGTGGCCTTGATCAAGCGCTTGAACATTCGGAGACTTTCTCTCCCAGTGTAAAGGGGGCGCCGTGATGGACCAGTGATGGGTTTCCGTGATGACCCTCAGGATGCTGTATGGAAAGTGCCGGGTCTGGGTCTGGACCTGGGGGGTTGTTACAAACGTCAGTAATCATCCACAGCGATGGCAGGAGCCGACATTTACTGGGTGTTTCCCACAAGCCAGGCACGGCGCTAAGGGTTTTGCTTGTACCGTCTTGCTGGGTCCTCACAGGGACCAGATGAGGAAGGTACTAGCATTAGCTCCATTACAGAAGAGGAAACTGAGCTTCAGAGGAGGAGAGTGACTTGCCCAAGGTCACAGAGCCACAGGCGGCAGTCAGGACCCACACCTGCTCTTAGTGCCAGAGCCTCACTGGCAGTCCCTCGCTTCTTCTCTCCCCACCCCTCCCTCCCTCCCTCCCTCCCTTCCCTCCTTTCCTGTGTGTCCCAGAGGCCCAGGATGGGGAGGAAGGGCTGGGAGTGGTGTGAGGGTGCTGGGGTTCTGAACATTCTTACCATGGGTCTCACCTCTGCTCTCCCACCTGCCCTGCCCCTCCTCTCCTCTCCTCTCCATGGCGCCACCCTGTGTGGACACCAGTGAGTTCATGGCCAGTGAGAGGATCCAGGCTCCTCCAGCCGTGAAGAACGAGCTGGAGAGCATGCTGAAGAACCAGGAGGCCCTGCAGCGCAAGCGGCTGGAGCATCTCTGCCCCATCTGGTACAACGGGAGGGGTTGCTGGCGAGGGCACCTTTGGGGGGCCCTGGGGGTGGCACAGTCCTCAGCACTGACCTTTCTCCTGATGTGTCCCCCAGACCAGGCCATCTCCTGGTTCTCTGGTCTTGGGCTGACCACCTGGGCCCATGTTCTGGTTCTCTGGTCTTGGGCTGACCACCTGGGCCCACATTCCAGCCCCAATGACAACAAAGAACGTGACACATTTGCTACAGAAAGAAGGTTAGTGTGACTGTGCCAAACTTGGAAGGAGGCAATGGCAAGGGGCGAGGTGGGGGGATTGGAAGAGGGATGGGACTTCCTCCTGAGGGCAGCAGAGTGGCTCCCTCAGCTGTGCAGTTTGCAGGGTGTGTTAGAAGGGTCTGAGGCTGGAGGCTGGAGGTCAGTGAGGAGGCGGCTGCCGTCAGACAGGGGACCTGTTAGAGGCTCTGGACACTCCCCTCAGACCTGGAGCCACCTGGCTCTGATCCCATAATAAGCTCTTTGGCAGGGGCCACACTGAATGTTCTAGACCCTGGAAGCCCACTGCCTGGGGACCCTGTAGCATCCGCTCTGAGCAGCAGGATGGAGCCTGCAAGGTCCTGCAAGGCGGAGACGCTTCCCGTGCTGGGAGATACTCCTCCTCTTCCTGTGCCCCTCGCTGGCCCCTCCCACCCTGGTAACCCTGGGGTGCAGGTTCTTCTTGTCCCCCCACCACAGAGCCTAAGTTCTCCTAGGATACAAATGACAATTAGAGCTCCACAGGGTCTCCCCCAGGGTGGGTGCCTCCTGCCCCGTGTGCAGCCACGTTTTCATGCAGGCGTAAAATTAACAAGGTAGATAAAAATCTCAGCACCAGGAAAGGTACTTTTGTTGTTTTCTGTAACATTTCTGACTCTGAACCCCTGTTTGTCTTTCTTGGGGCCCCATCCATTGAGGGGAAGTTATGGAGCCTCACCGGATGCCGGGCATGGTGGTAGGAGTCTGGTCATAGGTGTTTCGTCCATCCAGGTGCCTCTGGGCAACTTCTGCTGCCTCCAAACAGCTGGACTCGGGACTCTTGAGGAGGCTGCTCTGAGCGCCTGCGTGCTTATGCCCAAGCAGCAGTTTCCCTCCTGGGTCTTGCAGCTGCTCCCGTGATGCCACCAGGAAGCAGGACCCAGCTGCCACTGCCAGGCACCTGCCATCCTGCTCTGTCCCCGCCTCCCCCCAGCCCCTTTCTATTGACAAGGGGAAAGCCCTGGTCCCCAGGATCGTTCTCTTCCTCATGGCTCTCAGCCCACTCCCACAATCGCCTTCTCCTTACCAATGCTCTAGGCTCTCCTAAGAACTTAGACTTTGAAAACAAAAGCCAGAGAGATTTCTAGGCTGCTGTCTTTTCTTCCCCACCACACCCACTGCCCAGGCAGTGAACGTGGAGCTGGCTGGCTACCTGCCTGATGGAGGGAGAGACAGGGCTGAACACAGGGGGAAAATGCAGGCATCGACGCTCTGGCCACAGCTGGGAGACACCGTGTGGTGGCAGTGTCTGCAGACAGAGTGTGGAGCTGGTGGGTGATGTGTGCTGGCCTGGAGAAAGGTGGGGCGGCTCTGTGAAATCAGAGGCATGAGTGCATGTTTACAGGACCCAGCAGCTCCTTACGTGGGAGTACGTAAAGGGTGAGGTCAGGGCACAATTCCAGCCTCCAGAAGCGTGTACTGTGAACACAAGGCTTGAACGTGCAACTTAAAGGTCAAGTTGCAAAGCCTTGATCATAGAATTCCCATGAGCGTCAAGAATGAAGCTTTGCATTTGTGGTTTGTTTGTGCAAGGAGGTCTTAACAGTGTCGCAAAACACACTGTGTAGACACCCACCCATTTCTCCTGGACCTGTCAGGCAGCCAGGGAGCCTTCTAACCAAGCCCAGGAGCTGTCCCAGGAAACTGCCCCACGTGGGATCACAGGGAGTCCCTCCTCCGGAAAGCCCAGAGCCCTGGACCGGCGGGGGCCTTGCTTCTGCTCGTGCACAGGCCCTGCTGCAGGCTTGTGGGCGATGATGGCAGAGGGCTGGGGAGTCTTGCTAAGATTCCCAGGGCCCGAGAGGGAGTTATCCAAAGGCCGGGGAGAATCCCTATGGATTTTCTCGGACCCAACAAGTGTAAGTCCATATAATTTTAAAATAATTTAAAAAAAATACAATTTGTATTTTGGAGTGATGTTAGATTTACAGAAAAATTACAAAAATAGCACAAAGAATTCCTGTATACCCCTCACCCAGTTTCCTCTAAAGTTGTGATCTTCTATTACCACTGGACATTTGTCAAAACTAAAAAGTTAACTTTGATGCATTCCCATTAACTAAATATCAGACTTTTTCCGATTTTACCAGTTTTTCCACTAATGTCCTTTTCCTGTTCCAGGACCCGGTCCAGGATACCACACTGTATTTAGTACTACACAGTGTTGCTCTTTACTGTCCCACCATAAGTAGGGTGCCCAAGACCATCCTGGGATGCACGTCTTGTCCTGGCATAATCATTAATAGCCCCCACACTTTCACTGTCAAAAATGCCCTGGTTTGGATAATAAACTACACAGTCCCCCTAGCCGTACACATCTTTCCACATCGTTAAACACCACCCAAAACATGGGGGCTTAAACAACACTTCCTGTTTCTCCTGATTCTGTGGGCCAGCTGGGCAGTGCTCCTGGTCTGGGCAGGCTTGGCTGGGGCTGGGTGGCCCAGGACAGCCTCACTCCCCCGTCTGGAGCCGGGGCTGGAACAGCTGGGGCTTCTCTGCACTCGCTCTCAGCCTCCAGGAGCTCACCGGGCTCACAGGCATGGGGACGGCAGAAGAGCTCCCAGCAGCAAGCCAGGGCGAGCGGGATGCCTGAGCCCCTCTGAGCCTCTGCTGGGTCACGTTGCTGATGTCCCATCAGCCAAGGCCAGTGTCACAGCCAAGCCCAGATCCGGGGATGAGAAAGAGACCCCACCTCGCAGTGGGAGGAGCTAATGATACGTGACCGTTTTCCGTCTGCCACACTGTGTAGTTTATTTAGACAATTCCCTATTGTTGGATATGAGGTTGTTTATGTATTCTGTGTGTGTGTTTATAAACAGTGCTAAGTGACCGACTTAATGCATAAACTTCATATGCATTTTATATTGTTTTCTCGGATTGGGTTCCCAGAAGGGGTTTCCTTGTTCGTGACGTGAACCGTTTGTTTTTTCCCTTGAGAAAAATTCAGTTTTATTTCCTAAGTAACAGACTCATGGATATTAAATAGGCCTTTCCATGGGGCATGTTTTCAACACCAGGAAACCCCCAGCGAGTCACTGTGTATCTTCGGTATTTGGGTCAATACGACTCTGGAGCCGTGTTCCTCGAAGGTGCTGCCAGTTCAGGTAGTGAACGGTTATTCAAGCTTGGTGACTTGTCACATCTTCCCTCCCCAGTGACCTTCTGCCTCCCGGTTACAGCAGAGCTCAGCTGGCCGAATGGCGTTCCTCTCTCAACTCCCTGAACAAGCACCTCGGTGAGTGAGGTCTGGGGCTCCCATTCGGGTCTCTCCAGCTCTGTTCGCGTGGGAGCTTTGTAGCAGCGCCAGCAGCCAGTCAGCCGGTTACGTGAGCGTCTGTTGTGACCGCGGGAGTGGGTGGCAAGGCTGTCCTGGGGAAGCAGGGAGGCATGTAGACGGAGAGTGAGCCCAGGGGGGTCACATCCACCCTCCAGGACTCGGCCTGGCAGAGCTCCTCCTCCCTCCCACCACCTCGCAGTCATTGCCCGGCCGGCAGCCCCGCCAGCCACACACTCTGACCCCTGACTCTTGACCCAGCATGGAGCCAGAGGGACAGCTCCAATGACCCTTTGTGAGGACAGGTCAGGGGCCAGGCCCTGGGCATGTGAGGTTAAAGTGCATGGTCTTACAGTCAGGGAGAGGTGGGTGTGACGCCCAGCTCTGTGCTGTCCCAGCTCTCTGACCTTGGGGAAGTCGCAGCTTCTCATGGCCTCGAACTCCTCCTCTGTACAATAGGGATTTCAAGAGGAACAATAAGGGTAGCTACCCTGTGGGGTTCATGTGAGAATTACATGCAATCCTGTGATCCAGGCGTAATTCAGTGCCTGGCTTACAAGGAGAGTGCTAGTAATAAATGGTAGTGTTTAAAAATGCTCTAAGTCAAGGGTTCTCAAACTCCTGTCCCTGGGCCAATGCCTGTTTGCAAGTTAGTTCCACTGGAACATGGCTATGCTCATTGTTACATGTTGTTTCTGGCTGCTTCTGCTCTACAACAGCAGAAATGAGGAGTGGTGACAGAGACATTATGGCCTGCAAAGCTGGAAATATTTGCTATCTAGCCCTTTATAGAAAATGTTTTCCAAGCCTTGCTCTAGAAGGTATATAATATTTCCATCTCCTTTGAGGCTCACAGCAACCTGGTAAGGTCAGTGGTGTCATTGTCCCCCTGTGATAGAAAAGGACTCGGAAGCACAGAGAGGTGAAGTACCCTGCCCAAGGTCACATAGCTAGTGAAGTGTCACGGCTGGACTTGAGCTGAGTAGCTCAGTTAGTAGTACTCACCATTGCTCCAGGGCTCTCAGGTTTATCATTCCAAAGGTATTACAGTTATATTATATTATAATATCCAGGGCAAGAGCCCCAAGACCCTAAATAATAGCAGTGGCCGCCATTCACCAGGTACCCCCTAGGGCCAGGTGTGGCACAGGGCCCTGGTAACCAGCAGGGAGGATTGCCCCTTGGGTGCTTCCAGGCCGGAGCAGAAGTCAGACCATGCAGGACGTTACAGCAGGAGCGGGCAGGTGACCCTCATGTATTTGGGGACACAGGTTAAGGCACACAAGACCTTGCCAAGGAAGTGATCATCCAGCTGAAACCAGCAAGGCAAGTAAGAGTTAGCCAAGCCCAGGGGTCAGGGGACCTGTTCAAGCAGAAAGACCAGCACATGGGGAGGCTCAGAGGCAAGACAGCTGGGCCTTCGGGGAAAGGAGAAGGTGGCAGGGAGGCCAGAAGATGCTGAGGGCCAGGCTGTGCCAGCCGCATGGCCATGTGGAGGAGGCTGCACTTTATCCTGAGGGCACTGGGGACCCAGTGGAAGGTGCTGAGCTGGGAGTGATGAGGTTAGAGGGGGACAATCAGAGGGGCACAGGAGGGAAGCACAGACACCCCAGGGGCGTCCATCACAGCGACTTCACTGGAAGGATGGGGGTGTGCTGGCCTATGAAGCGGCCCTGGAGATGGGAGAAAGCAGCTTCAGCGCTGCTCCTCGCCAGTGCCACTGCCTGTCTAACCTCCCGCACGTCCCCACTGCCGTTCACCTGCCCTCCTCCCCAGCCCTTGTCCAAGAACAACCACCACAATCTCTGTGTGGTCTTCCAGTTTCCAGAACTTATTGTAGACACCAAGGGTCACACTAGTTATCATAACTGGGAAACAATAGGGAGAGGGAAGAGGAGAAATCAATCAGTCAATGCATCCGCGAGCTTCTGCGTGTTCTGCTAGTCCAGCCGCTTCTTAAGGAATTAACCGCAGAATGACCTGTAAACGCTCGTTCAGTTTGCACACTTGCCACTGTTGTACGACTTGGTCCAACTCTCCAAAGAGAATCTCACCAGCCTTGAATCTGAGCCAAGAATCAAGTCAGAGTGGATTCGTAACAGCTGAAGATGACTCCCCATTTGAGAGCCTTATCTTGGGGTGTCGGGGCCCCCTGTGAGGAGGGAGCCCTGATCTGAGTGGGGACCATCTCACTTAAGTACCGCGCTGCTGAGGCGCCTTGCTGGGGAGAAGCTCTTCCCTCAGCACCGGGGAAGCTCCTCCTGCTGGTGCGCCCTCTTCCTGCTGGAAGAGCAGCTGACATGTCTGTTTCTGCCCATGAGACGCCTACCACGTGGACTGTATGATGCGTGTCCGCCTGCAGTATGAGAAGACGTGGCAGGAGTGTCTGGCCCACGTGCAGAAGTGCAAGGTGGGTGCCCCTCCTGGCGGCCGGAGAAGAGGGTCAAAGGGCAGCGGCCTGGTGTCCCGTCCCTGGCCTGCCCCTGCTCCTCTCCAGCCTGGATCCTCTCCTTCCTCATGTGCCCTGGCCCTCACTGGCCCCTGGGCATCCTGAGGCTGTCCCTCTGCCCGTACCCTCTCCTCCTCAGCTATTCCCACCCATCCGTCGGGTGGTAGCCCCACGTGGCCTCCTCCAGGAAGCCTTCCCTGATCCCACAGAGGAAGGTATACACTCTCTGATCACCTCAGACTTCCCCTTGACTCTGTTTCACTCACAGCACTTGACATTATTTGCTCAGAGGAAGTCTTGTCATGGGGGTTCTTTAGGCCCCCCCCCCCCCCCCCGCCCCGACCCCCTTCTCCCTCGCTGCCGCCTCTGTTCACGCCGAGACCGCGAGTTCACTCCCAAACCCCTCTACGGAGTGCCTGGTTTTCTGGGGCGCAAGGAAACATTGTGTCAAACTGCCCACTCCCCAGCTCCTTGTTCAGATGAAAAACCCAGAGAAGCCTAACCCTTCTGGGGACGGTCTGACCCGCGCCCTGGCCGCGGGAGTCGGGACTCGGCGGCCCGCGCTCCGCCCGTGGCCCTCGGCCGGCTCCGCCCCGCCGGGCTCTGGGGCGCAGGCTGTGGCGGCCGCGGGCTCGCGCTCGCAGGGACCTAGGATGTTCTCGGACTTGGGGGCCGGCCCCGCCTGGGGACGAGACGACCACGTTTGCAGAAGGCCGGGGGCTGCCATTTGCCCTGAGCCTCTCGGTCAGCTCTTGGGGGCTTCAGACCTCAGCGGTAGAGCCCGGAGGGAGGGGAGGGAAACCTCCGCCCGGGGGCCTCCCCAGGACCCCGCCCCGGGCTCCCCGCCCCTCCTGCGCTGCCCGGGCTCCCCCTGTGCTGCCGCCTGAGCCGGACTCGCTGCCCTTTGTGGGGCACAGGCGGGGACGGTGCTGAGGTCGTCCCGTACCCAGGGGCGCAGGAAGCCTGACCCAGGGCACCTGGTCCTCCTGTTGGGCAGCACTGGAAGTACACAGCTGTAGACACGTCTTTAATTTGGGGGAGGTTGGTTTATGTGAGATGTTGGTGCATAAACCAAGGCTTTCCTAATAAAGAGAGCCCGCTTTCCAGTTGGCATAACTCACAGTTACAGGGAAGGGGAGCCCTGTCTGACTGACAGCAGCCCCGAGACCGTCTAGGATGGCGGTTTATGCTGTAGGCTCTGCAGTGGGAGCCCTCTGAGTTCAGATCCAGGCCCCACCACTTGCCAGGTGTGTGGCCTCCAGCAAGTCCCTTCACTTCTCTGAGCCTGGGTTTCCTTACTTGTCAAACGGGGCTAATGAGAACACTGCTGGGGGATTCAGTGAGACAAGGGGGCAGCACACAGCAGCTGGACACGGTGGATGCACCACAAAGCTGGACCCTCTCGGCTGCTGTGAGGGTTTCCTCTGAGGCTCTCAGGGATGGGTGGGAGGCAGATCTCAGGGTGCAGGACCAGGCCCTGAGGTGAAGCCCCACCAGCGCTAAGCCAGCCTCTGCCTTGTCCCTCTCCAGAAGCAGCTACTGGACTGGAAAGCCGTCACGGAGGAGGAGGCAGAGAGCCTGGTGAGCCCGTCCTTCTTGCAGATGGTGGGAGCGCTCCAGAGCAAGGTGGAGGAGGAGCTGGAAGGCCTGGATGTGCGTAGCCGGGGACCCACACAGCTGGGCAGCAGGGCAGGCGTCCCCCGGGCACTGGGCTATGAGGAGAATAGGAGTCTGGGTGCCTCCAACTTTCCTGTCACTAGTGCGTTCATCTCCCTCATCGTGGCCAGCCCCTCTGGAGCAGTCCCTCTGTGCCAGGCACTCCAGGCTCACCCCTGACTCCCCTGCCACACGCTGACACCGGTGCTGAGCAGGAGTCCACGTGAGCAGCCTAGGGCCGTGAGTGCTCCCCGAGCCCTTGCTGAGTCTGAGTTTTTTTCTTTCCTTATTATGTGGAGAATTTTCATCTTTTCACTTAAAGGAAGCACGAAGCACTTTACGGCTTCTCTTTGGCATATCCGAATTTCCAGCGTCACTCCTCTTGCGCTTTGGGGCCATTATTAAGTAAACTAAGGGTGACTTGAACACAAGCACTGCGATACCACAACAGTCGATCTGATAACAGAGATGGCTGCTGAGTGACTAACCCGCAGGTGGCGGGTGGCAGGTAGCATATTCGCGTGGCTCCGCTGCGCTGGACCAAGGGACGATGTACTTCCCGGGAGGGACGGAGCGGGAGGGCGTGGGATTTCATCATGCTGCTCAGAATGGTGCGCAGTTTGAAACTTATGAGTTGTTTATTTCTGGAACTTTCCATTTAATAATTTCGGACCATGGTTGACTGTGGGTGACTGAAACCGCAGAAAGTGAAACTGAGGATAAGAGGGGACTATTGTATCTTCTTCCTTTTTTTTTTTTTTTTAGCCATTTAAAAATGTAAAATCTGTGCTCAGTTGGCAGGGCCAAACCAAAAAGGGCAGAGGGCCACATTTAGCCCACAGGTCAAGTTCGCCAACCCCGACCCCATGAGAGCATAAAACACGTAGATAAAAGGGGAGACGTGGGGATTTAACAGCAGAGGGTGGTGTTTGGCTCAGACGCTGAACGTCAGGAGCTCCAAAGAAGGAAAGATGCCCCAGGCCGAGATAGTATGGCCACCTGCGTGCCAGGCTGAAGCCTAGGGTTGGTCCTTCTTTCTTCTAGGCCCCACACTCCTCTCAGTGACTCCAGTGGACATGAGACAGGTCCCGAAATGGGACTTCAGAGTCAGCCAGACCAAAGAGATGACCCTGGGCAGACTAGAAATGCTGCCCCAGAGGTGGGAAGGCCATGAGCTGAGGTGTGGCTGAGAAGATGATCTTGAGGGATGGTGCCCAGGCAGTGACAGCCAGTCCTTGGAGACATGAGGCCTCCACTGGCTGGCGAGGGAGCCCCGTGAGTGGGGCCCTCCTCTTCGCCCTGGGCCAGACGGCTCTCAGGCCCCTTCTCTGGGTTCTGCCTCTGCAGAAATGCTTCGAGGCCCTGGCTAAGCAGACAGAGCAGCAGAGCGCAGACCTCTTCAGCTACTTCCAGGAGGCCGTGCAGCTGTGGGAGGCACATCAGAGCATGCTGTCGGTGCAGGAGCTGGAGCTCGAGAAGAGGATGGAGCAGCAGCGGCAGAAGCACAGCCTGGAGAACCAGGTGTGGCCTCCAGCACCCAGGTAGCCCCCACAGGGGATGAGGGAGGGGCCACAGCCAGACTGTCAGCAGCCCAATGACTCTGCCTGGTGGCTTGTGAACTCAGCCAGCATTCAGATGCAAAAAAACCCAAGAACTTTGATCAGTACTTCACACCATAAACAAAAATTAACCCCAAATGTATCCTAGACTCAAAGGTAAAACCTCAAGCTGTAAAACTCGAACAGGAGGGGAAATTGAGGCTCACCTTGGTCATGGGGCTGGATGGGAGTAGAAGAAATCTGCCTGAGTCAGACCTGGGCTCTGTGATGGGTCCTTGGATCCAAACGTGTCTGTAAGAGAGTGTGCATGAGAGGCAGACAGACTCGGGGCTCTGGAGCATCTGCCTCTGGCAGTCACCCTGCCCCCACAGGAGATGAGCTGGGCCCCCACCCCACCTGCCTCCACACAGTCCAGGGAGTGGAGGGGGCAAGCTCAGCATCTGATTTCAAGTGTGACTGGTGCGAAGGAGGACAAGGAGCAGGTGCCACGGGAAGGTGTGGCAGGGCCTGCCCAGGGCGGGTGGGTGTAAGGGATGTGTCCCTGAGGAGTCCCATCTGAGCCGGGTCTCCGGAGATGTAAAGTAGACAGAGGAGAACATTGCAGGCAGAGAGAAGAGCCCGGAGGCCCGGAGCAGTGAGAGTCAGGGGGTGGCACACTTGGTGCCCTTGGTAGAGGAGAGTCCTGGGCTTGCCGGGTACCTGCACCTCAGCTCCAGGGGCAGGGTCTCTGCGCGTCACTTACACCTGTCTGCTCTGGTAACTCACGTCTGCGTCCTCCTGTTGTGGGGCCAGGCCCAGGAGGCCCACCTTGACAAGCTCTTGGACCAACTGAGGCAGCAAAGCCATGAGGAAACACTGAAGCTTCACCTGGAAAAGGCCAAAGATTTTCTGGAGAATATGAAATGCAGGTAGGCAGACCAGACCCCAAAAGACAGAAGGGTTGTCCTGGAATCCATATTCAAGGTCAGAGGCGGCCTGCTCAGCAGCCCAGGTGTTGCCCAGCAAGCTCAAGATGCAAATATTGCCTCTAACTTTGGAGGACGTTGGGTCCTTTGCAGCGTAGAAGCTTCTGGGGAGAACTTTGATCTGAAATGTACGTGGAGGGAGGTTTCAAGGCCGTGTAGTTCAAAGGCCAAGAGCATGGGTCCTCCCTCCACCTTTTTAAATTTTAAAACGTACATGCCCTTTCTTAAAGAAAAAAAAGTTAATGCAAACATAGAAATGTTCCCTCATTCCTGCCCAACTCTTCCTTTTTATGGACAAATACATTTATATATGTGGATGTGTACACATATATAGTGTTTTTTAAAAAAAGGTTGGATCGGACTATGCAAATTGTTCTACAACGGCAGATAGATTTCCATTTTCAGATGACCATGTAGAATTCATTAATATGGATGCTTCATACTGACTTACCATCCCCTGATTGATTAGCTTTCTAAGATTGGTTTCAATTTCTCCATATTAAAAACAGTTCTCTGTGAACTATCTTGTATCTTTGTGCCTTCGTACAACTGATTCTGTAAGGACCCTTTGCAGACATGGAATTGCACTGCCGGTTGACTGCAACGCTTAGATTCAGAAGTATAACTTGAGGCAAATAAGGAACCCCTGCACCTTGGTCTTCTTACCTAGGACACAGGTAGAAGTCTGGGCCTTGGGGCATCGGAGGGTCCGACGGGGTGATGGAGGTAAATTCAGAGGACAGGGTAGGAGAGTGGACAGGAAATGGGAGCCCATGTTACCACGAGCAGAAAATTCTCTCATGTGTGTTTTCTAAATCTTCTACAAAGAGTATGTGTTCTTTGTATGATCAGAAAAATAGCAAAACAAACTAAGGACTATTGTGAAGAGAAATGTACACAGCAGCTCTGTGCAGAGCTAAATGCAGATTCCAGCCCACCTCCGGGGTCAGGGGGTACAGCTCTTGCCTGGGGCCTCCCACGCTCAGCAGAGCCCCCTTAGACAGTGGTCTCCCCTGCCTACCTCCCAGGTATGAATGTTTTCACGTCCTCCTGACAAAGGAAGTGATGGAGGACGCAGTGATCATACTGAAAGAGCTCAACTCCTACAGCTCCACCCTCAGCCAACATTTCTATGTTCGTGAAATCTTTGAGCAGGTGTGGAGAGGGAAACCCAAAACCCAGCCACCCACCAAGAAGCAAGGGGAGAGGGAGATGTCTAGTTCTGATCTGCCGCAACGTTGAATGCCTTCTCTACCCTGTGGAGTTAGGATCCGTCAGGATATCGAGGAGTGAGAAGCTGGAAGCTGTCTCTTCCTCAGATGAAAAGAGGTTGAAGGGCTCAGTTCAGGCCTCAAGGCTTGAATGGAGTTATAACAATGAGCTGCATTCATCCAACCCACCATTGCCACATAACCCCCCCAAATACAGCTCTGACCTAGCCGCTCTCCTGCTCAAAAGCCCCTCCCCGACTCTGCAGCCCCTACCAGGTCCAACCCACAGTCCCTCCAGGACCCCAGAGGCCCCCACATTGGTTCCCACCTGACTCTCCTGCTTCAGCAAACTCCCCGCTCTCCCTGCATATGCCTCCTGCCCCTGCCGCTCCTCATCCTGCTCCTCTGCTGGGATCCTTCTGTCTCCACACATCCCAAACTCACCCATACTTCCAGTCCCTACCAGTGACAAGTGTCCATCCTCTCAGTTGACCCCTCCTCTCATGTGCCCTGTCACCTCTCCTCTCTGAACCAGCTTGTACGTTGGTTGCTGTCAAATGCAGGAGTTCACAGCCCCCATGGAAGGTGTTTCCTGAAGGTCAAGTATGCCTTACTTTTATTCAACTTCAGTTGTCCTTCGCACAGTGTCTTGCACAAAATTCAGACCCAGTGAGTGCTCCCTGGGTAAATGCGTGAATACCTGGAGTGTCCTGGTCTGACTCTCCCAGAGTTTGGCTCTTTCCCACACACCCAGCCAGAGTCCTCATGGGCAGAGCTGAAAATGCTTGTGGGTGACGCTGAACCTGGATGAGGGTTTCCTATGTATGTGGGGTCCCCGGCTCCTCACAGAATCCCTCCGCTCGGCAGGGATCTCTGTTCCAGTGGCTGGTAGATGCTCCCCGCGGCACCTGGGTGGAGGCGGAACCTGGGTGAGGGTTTCCTATGTATGTGGGGTACCTGACTCCTCCGAGAATCCCTCCCCTCGGCAGGGATCCCTGTTCCAGTGGCTGGTAAACGCTCCCCGCGGCACCTGGGTGGAGGCGGAGCCCAGGCTGTAGGAGGGTGAGCTGCCATCTGCCCTTTGAGCTCAGTCTGGTTGCCTGGTTAAAGGATCAACGTTGTTGTGATCCCCTCGTCACAAGGGAGGACACTGAGCCCCACAGGGTTTAAAGGGCTTGCCCAAGGTCACCCAGCTTGTAAGGAGCTGGGATTCGAACTCAGACCCACAAACTCCACAGCCCACACTGTTATCCATGACACACTACACCCACAGTTTCACCCAGAGCCTGTGAAACACGGAATTTGTAGGGTTAACAAGGGGGCTTCCGGATCATGTAAATCGTGTTCATTCCGTATGTTCGCATCCAGCACTGGGTGCAGCAGATTCCTGCCCCTTTGTTTGCATCCCTCAAATTATGCTTTCTTGCTCTTTGCCCCACATCCCTACCCAAAATGTGCCAGAATGAGATCTTATTCTGTCAACGCCCACTATGTGATGAAAGGGTTTGCTAGTCTTCTTGGGATTAAGGAACACTGATTCCCTGGATTAGGAACAGTGATCACCCCAGTGAAATAAAGATCAAGGCCCATGTAAGATGCCAAAGGGGAAGGGCGGGTCCTTTTACCTAAAAGAAGAGGCGCCCTTAGGAGCGGCACTCTGCAGGAAGGCAGCACTGCTCACTCAGTGTCCGTGTGTCTCCTTGTAGGACTTGGGTGGGGAAGTCATCTTCAAGGTCAGGGAACCAGGTAACACCTTCACAATTCAGGTCTGCTTCTCCCTGATTTCACTCTTGTGCACTGGTGGGCTGGGGAGGCCCCGTCTGGGTTCCATTGCTAACCTGCTTTTCCTTGTGCTATGGGGTTCGTCATCAACAGAAGCACATGAGAAGGGCTTCCAGGAGAGAAGGAGAAAACAAAGGGCTAAAGTAGAAATGAGCAAAAGCAGGAAAAGCGCCAGTGGAGGGACAAGTTCCCCCAGGCCGGCAGAAGAGATGGAAGACGAAGAAGATCAAGAAGTCGAATCCTGCACAGCTGAAGAGGTGGCAGCAAGCCAGCAGGAAGAGTCTGTCCTGAGCGACGAGATGCATGAGTCCAAAGAGGACTCTCCTCTGGGAGTGGAAGAAATGCAGCTTGAAAGAGACAGCTCCCTAAAGCCCTCCCTGAACCTGGAAAATGGGATGGGTCAAGAAGAGGAGGAGGAGGAGGAGGAGGACAGGATGGAGGAGGAAAGGGCGGGGGAGGAGGAAGAGGAAGAGTCGGAGGAAAAGGAAGAGCGCGAGAGTTTATCTGTGGATGAGGTAGGCCAGCAATGGGTTCATCCCTGGGTGCGGGGAAAGCGTGCTGTGTTGACTGTGTGAACCTGACACAAGCTGCAGTCCCCACTGGGCTGCATGTAAAGAGTCACAGATGTATGCACATCGTTTATTCTCGTCAGCAGGGATCCAGTTCCTCTCTCACAGCAGTGCTTTTAAGATTCACCTTCCTCTCCCCACATCCCATCCTGCGCCCTGCTCTGAAGTCATCCCCCAGCTGTGTGGCCTTCCTTGTCCTTCCTGGTCCATGCTCTTTCCCAGCTCCTTTTTATTGTATGGATCAACTCAGCCTCTCCGTTCCTTCTCTCTGCCCATTCTTGGGTTGTGTGACACAAAAGATCCATTTATGAACTCTGCTTAGAATGCAGGGAAGTGACTCATGTATTAATAAATCTTGTCCTCAAGACACAAACTCACACAACAGTAGCTTGAATTCCACACTCATGAATTGCAAAAGTCCCTTTCCCTGTATTTCTGTGGAAGAACTGACATGGGAGACTTCTCTGCCACCAACTCAAGTGCCCACAGACAGGCACGTGATAGAAAAGAGGACTGGGGACCAAGTGTAAAACAGTGACAAGTGGTGCAGACGATTGTCTTAGTCCATTTGGGCTGCTGCAACAAAATGCCACAGACCGGGTGGCTCAAAAACAACAGAAATTTACTTGTCACGGTTCTGGAGGCTGGAAGTCTGAGATCAGGGTGCCAGCAGATTCGGCGTCTGGTGAGGGCCCACTTCCTAGTTCATAGACGGCCGTCTTCTTGCTATGTCCTCACAGGACGGAAGGGGGAAGGGAGCTCTCTGGGGTCCCTTTTGTAAGAGCACTAATCCCGTTCCTAAGGGCTCTGCCTTATGACCTAATTGCCTAGCAAAGGCCCCGCCTCTAAATACCAACACACTGGGGCTATGGATTTTGAAGAGACACCAACATTCAGTGTATGGAAACTGTGCAGCCATTACTCAGCTCCAGCCAACAATGCCATGTGGGAATGTAGGCTCAGAATTGCCAGATTTTCTGATTTTTAAGAGAAACCAGAAATCCCAGTTTAAAACTTCCCAATTTAAAAGCACTAAATGGGCAAAAGACAGTTATAGGCAAGATTCGGCCCACAGGTTTACAACCTCTGATATCAAGGAACCTGTGGTTGGGACCCCCGGGTCTGTTTGATGATGTCAAGTCTAAAGTCTTATTTTCTGCTCAGGCCGAAGCCCGGGAAGAGAGTCTGGGGGAGGTCTCCCGTGAGAACATGGAGTCCTTCACAACCTCCAGTGGAAACACTTATTTTGTCTTCCTACCCCTGGAACAAGAAGAAGAGAGTTGCAAGAGGCCCCAGTCCAACCTTTCTGCCGTTCTCATCAACCACACTTCCAATGCCAAGTTCCTGGAACAAGTGATCATTCCATCCAGGCTGGTTTCAGAAATTAAGAAACAGTGAGTGGAAACCTCTTATATATGAGTGCTCTTATCCTGTGTTTTATTAACAAGGTGAAACATTGCAACAAAAGATTGGACTCATTTCAGCTGGAAAAAGAAAGCTTGTAGGTAACTGAGGGTAGAGATGAGATGCACCATAAAAAAGAACAAATGTCCAGGGATTATTTTCAGTCACAGTAACCCCGTCCACCTGGCCCAGGATGCCTTGCTGGCTTGGGCCTCGTACATAAGAAATTGTACGCTCCCTGCAAGATGTTTCTGGGTTCTAGATCCTGGCACACCTGTAATTTTAGGGTTTCTTCCTTTTTTTTCCCCTCCCCAATGCCCCAGTACATAGTTGTATATCCTAGTTGTAAGTCATTCTAGTTCTTCTAAGTGAGCCACCACCACAGCATGGCAACTAACAAATGGGTGGTGTGGTTCCACAACCCAGAAGCAAACCCAGGCCACTGGAGTGATGAGTGCCGAACTTTAACCACTAGGCCATGAGGGCCAGCTGGGGTTTCTTCTTTTTTTTCTTTTAATTATATAGATATTAATCATAGGTATGAATATATCAGTACGGTATTCAGCTCTGATTATGTGACACATTTATTACAGAAAATTAAAAATTGAAAAAAGTATGATAAAGAATATAGAAAGGACCCATAATTCTACCAGTGAAAATTTGCCTCCCCTAACTCCCAAGTTTCTGGGCCTTTGTGTTTGAATTTGGACCAAAGGTGGAAATTTGGCCTTAGGATAGCAATTCCATTGCCCTCCTGACTCTACAGTGTCATAGCTAGGGCTAACCAGCTAGAGATCACCTGGTTAGTCTACCTCCCATGAGCAGGGAGTAAAGGAGTAAAGTCAGGCCTTTGGACTCTTTTCCTTCACGTCACTATCATCTCACTTTGAAAATGTCTCTTGATTGAACCTCCTCCTTCTCCCTCCTCTTCTACAGACCAGTGTCCATCTTCTCCACGGCCCATAGAACAAAGAAAAGCCAGGACCACCCATGAGCTAACATTTACTGAGAGGATTCAATCCCTTCAGTAACTGTGAGAGGGGTACCATAGTTCATCCATTTTACAGATGGAGAAACCGAAGCTCAGAGAGTTAGTAACGTAGATAAGACCTCCGAGATAGGAAGTGGTTAGATCCAGGATATGAATCTAGACCCTGTGATTCCAGAGTCTTGAAAGAAACACTGTGCCATCTGGCCTTGGGACTAGCTAGAAAAATAGTTCTGTGTTCAACTGATTGAATTTGCGTGTTGAAGGATAGCACACATACAAAAAAGCATTGAAATCTTGAGTGTATCGCTCAATGAATTATCCAAAGGGAACACACCTGGTAACCAGTATCCACAAGACGTAGACCTTAGCAACTCTCCAAGAGCCCCCCAGGTACCCAGCCCACATCACTGCCCTCTCTTCCCCAAGGATAACAAATATTCTAACTTCTGAGTTAGTTTTGCTTGTTTTTGAAGTTTATTTAAGTGGAATATTATAGAATGTACTCTTTTCTGTCAGGCATCTTTCATTATATTTGTAAGATTCATTTATATTTTTGAATGTGGCTGTAGCTCATTTTTATTTCTGTATAGTATTTCAATAGAGAGAATACAGCCCACTTTATTTATGCATTCTACTACTGATGCACATTCAGGTTGTTTCCCCTTTGGGAATATGCCAACAATGCTGTTCTGAACATTCTTGGACAAGTTCTTTGGCAAACGTATGCATGCATTTCTATTAGTACATTTCTGTTAGTTAGATGTATAACTAGGAGTGGAATTGTTGGGACATAGAATTATATGTGTGTCCATCTTGGGGAGATACAACCAAAAGATTCTACCAAAGAGTTTCCAAAAGTGGTTTTGTTTGAACAGTTTACAACAGTGTGTGAGAGATCAAGTTGCTCCACACCCTCACCAACACTTGGTATTTTCAGCAGTTTATATTTTAGCCATTCTGGTGTATATGTAGTGGTGTTTCATTGTGGTTTTAAGTTGCATTTTCTCAATGAGTAATGACGTTGTGCATCTTGTCATATACTTACTGGCCATTTGGTTATCTTTCTGTGATACCTGGTCAAATCTTTTGCCCGTGTTTTTCTGGCAGACTGTCTACCCTTTTTCTGATTACTTTATGCGAGTTAGTTACCTATCCTAGATATGAGGTTTTCTTAGGTAAATACATGGCAAAACGTTCATCCCGCTCTGTGCTTGCCTTTTTTACTTTCTTAAAAGTATCTTTTGATGAACAGATATTCTTATTTGTAATAAGGTCCTATTCATCAATTTTCTTAATTAGGGTTAGTGTACTTTCTATCTTATCTAAGAAAACTTTGCTTCCCCCTAGGTCATGAAAATATCCTGCTGTGTTATCTACTACAAACATTATTGTTTTAAACTTCCACATTTAGATGTAAAATCCACCTGGAATTTGTTTTTGTTTATGCACGAGATAGGAGTCAGATTCATTTCTTTCCCTTGTGGATAACCAGTTGACCCCAGGCCATTTGCGAGGACTCTCCTCTCCCCACTGCTCTGCTGGTCCTCTTTTCTATTTATCTCTGTGTCTGTCCTTGCACCACCACCTCACCCTGCTTGGTCACTGTCACTTTATACTAAGTCTCAACATTTGGTAGTGTAAGTCCACCAACTTTTCTTCTCCAAGACTGTCCTGATTATTCTTGGCCCTTTGTATTTCTACATAAATTTGAAATCAGCTTGTCAGTTCCCATCAGCAGACATCTGCTGAGCGTTTTTTTTTTTTTTATTGTTATTGCATTGAATCTATAGATAAATTTGGGGAGAAGTGACATCTTAACAATATGTAGCCATCCTAACAGTACATAATTTTTTTAAAAGAAGTGATAAACTGGGAAAAGTATTTGCAACTCATATCACAGTCAAAGGACCTCGTGTTCCCAATATATGAAGAGCTCCTATATAAAGAGATTGGTAAGAAAAAAAGCAGCTACGCAATAGAGAAATAGGCAAAAGATATTAATGGATAGTGCCAGAAGAAGAAATTAAATAGTCTTAAACACATGAAAATATGCTAAGTCTCAGTCATAACATGACAAAATTGTCAGATTCAAAAGTTTGACAATACACTCTGAGGCTTTGGAGAAATAGGAGCTATGATTCATTGCGGATGTGAGTTTGAGTTGCCTTGCGTTGGAAGCAGTTTGGCCACATCTTCAGGAACCGCACATGAGTTTTAGCCTTTGATTCAACAGTTCCACTTCAGGGAATTTATCCTGTAGAAGTGCTTCCACACTTGGCATGTGTACAAGGGTGTTCACTGCAGCCTTCTTTGTAACAAATGATTGAAAACCACCCAGTGTCCTCCAGCAGGAGTCTGGATAAATGAGTGATGGTCCACCCAGACAAGGAAATACAGAGTAATTGGGAAGTAAAATAAAGAAGAAGGAGTGAAAGGGAAAAGCATTTTATGTGTCAGTATGGAAAGATCCTCCCTGGTCGTGATTGCTGGCAGGGCTGACCCTTGCTGATCTGTCCCTCAGACTTCGAGCTGGCTTTTTTGAGCACTTAGAGAAGTGGTTTGACCAATGTGTCCTCAATGCCTGGGTTGTCGTGGCCACCAAGATTGATGGGCTGGATTCAGAACTGGAGCTGTGTCTGCACCTGCACCAGCCAAGAGCCCAGCACGTTGAAAAGGACATCCACAACGTGAGAGCAGGTAGAGACCCTGCCTGGGGAGGCCACCCTGCCCCACATCCCGTGTCTGTGCCACCGCAGCTCCAAGTTCATTAAAGTTTGCACCAAACATTTAGCATGTTGTCATCACACTGTGAAAGATGTGTGTGAGGGTTCACACCTCCCAGGCTGGCAGAGAAGGTAGTACTCAGAATCCTAGTCTGAAATTTTTTAAATTGGTTTTTAAAAAGAGGGTGTTAGATGCTGAAAAGAAGAGTATTGCCCTGTTTTAGCTGTGTGGATCCCAGATCCACTCACACCTCTGTTGGATCCATACCTGCACGGCAGATGCTCCAGAGGCCAGTCTGTAGCTCAGCAGTCAGCCGTCAGACGCAAGCTCTCTAGCTGTGACTCTGGCAGGTCACCTGACTTCTCCTCTGACCCCTCCCTCACCTGCAGAAGCGATGTCAGTGGGGGAATTGACTCTCCTTGAAATGGTGCAGTGAGAAATCCTGAGCACCTGGTATAAGCCACAGCCTCCAAAAGTGGTAGCCCTTATTTTCAGCTTAGAGCACTCAATAAGAGGTGCCATTTCTCTCTTAGGAACCTAATGGGGGGCACACTTTTAGTTGGATCCTTCCATGGCCCCTGTCGGGCTTTCACACGCGTCGCACTTCGAGCTCCATCACAGACCGTTAGAGCTCTCAGAGCCTCCGCGTGGTCCCACCCAGCCTCCCGCTGCCTGGGGCAGTGACGGAGTTGTGTGGGACCACAGCACTTTCACCACTGCAGGCAGTAGGGAGGTGGGGCGGGTGCTCTGGGGCTGTCTGCTGGCTCTGAAGGACTAGGATGGAGCTCCTGAAGCCCAGTCCCGGTTCTTTTTACTGAGAAGTCCGGCGGAATTCAGGCTCATTGGAAATGAATACCCACTGATATAAAGGGGCAAACCCGACTGCCCAGTTTTGTGCTGGTTGTTTTCTCCCAGACGTTCTTTCTGAGACCCCTCGCTCCCCAACAACCTCCACCCATCTGCCTGCTCCCCACTTGCTCCCCAAGACTCTCCATCTTGCAGGCTCTATTCCTGTCTGCTGCAGGCAGGGACCTCCCTCCTCACAGCCAGGCACTTCGAGACCCTGGGGCAGTCTCAGATTGGCCTCTCTGAGATCTGGACCCATCCCCAGGCCAAGCCCTGGTGAGGGCTCAGGATGAGAACCTTGACCTGCATGGCCCCTGCTCTGCGGCTGGCCTGGGAGAGGCAGTCATCACAGCCAGGAAAGGAATGTCCTGAGGTGACTCGGGATCCCAGACGGCCTCAGCTCCCCTCGTCCTTTTCCAGCGGAGCTCCTGCTCCATCAAGAGAGGCTGGACAGCCACTGTGCTGGGGTGGTCGAGGTGCTGAAGAAGGAGAGGCTGATGTTCCAGCAGTTCCAAGAAGAGGAAAACGTGAGGAGCAGAAACTTCCGCCGCAAGATTTACGACGTGGAGCACATCTTCTTGAACGCCACACAGAGCCAGAGGTGAGAGCCCTGGGAGCCTCCACCCTGGCCTCGGGCCCTAGAATCCCAGCCAGGTGGCTGCTCTCCAAGGAGTGGTCTCTCCCTGGGGATAGGAGGAAGGTTTTCCAGGCCCCGCAGCAACCTTCTCTTTTCAGTTCACCTCTTCACAAGAGTCAGAGTCAAACCATGTGAGACATCTGGCTGGGGGCTGGGGCTGGGGGCTGGGGGCTGGGGGCTGGAGCTGAAACTGGGGGCTGTGGCTGGGGCCGGGGGCTGGGCACTGGGGACTGGTGGTGGGTGAGCAGCCAAACGGAAAATTGTGCACATGCTCAGAGTGCAGGGGTGCAAACGACGTGCCCCCAAATGTCCATGGTGAGAAAGGCCACTTCCATCAGGGGAAATCAGGAGGAGCTTCTTGCAGGAGGTCTCTGGGCCTGGGGTGGAGGAAGGTGGGGAGGGGGCAGAATTCTCCCATCAGAGAAGGAGCCCTGGCCAAGCTCGGCTGGAGGTGGGGATGTGCTCCGGCAGAGCAAGGGGTTCCAGGGAGGCTGTTCAGGATCGGATGGAGACTCTCCGGTGCCCAGAGAGGCCTCAGTCAGGTGACGAGGGGGGAGCCCTCACAGGTGTCTGCACAGCAGTCAGATGCACAAGAGGCAGCTGGTTAGAATGGACTCGGATATAAAGAGGAAACTTGCAGTGCACAGGAGCCGCGTTGCTGGGAGTTAGAGAGAGAAAGCGTGCTGGAGCTGAGGAGAACCAGTAGGACCCGGGGACTCTTACCAGTTTGGTGGCAATGCCAGAGAGGAGAGGGGCGCCCTTCGATCCAGCACACTGAGAGTTCTACATTGTGTCTTGTGCACACTGGCATTTTGAACTTCCTTCTAATGCCCCTTTTGCTACCCAGACAAGATGGGCAGTGGTCCTGGTGGCCCCACAGCTGGGCACAGCATGTGGAGCTCCAGCAGCCTCCCAAGCTGCCGGCTCACATCCAGCTTACCCCTCTGTCCTCCTGTGTCCCCTAGGCTGGTCACCCTCAGCAGCACACTGCACCAGGAGCTGCTCAGCCACGTCAACGTCAGCCAGGTGTCCCTGCGCAGCCAAGGGACTCTCCGCCAAGTACTTGAAAGAGAGCCTGGGCAAGCTCTGCTACACCAACATTGAGTTCATCAAGCACTGCAGGTGAGAGCCAGCATCCGGGCTTTCTCTCCTGAGGGGTGGTCTTGTTTCCCCCTTAATTTCTTATTGTGACAAAATATACATAACATAAAGTTGTCCATTTTAACCATTTTTGGTGTCCAGTTCAGTGGCATTAAGTACATTCACATGGTTGTGCTGCCATCACCATCACCGTCTCCACAACTTTTTCATCTTCACGAACTGAAACTCCAAACCCCTTAAACACTAACTCCCCATTCTCCTCTCCCCTGGCCCCTGGAAGCCACCATTCTACTTTCCGTCTCTATGAATTTGACTACAGTAGGCACCTCATATAAGTGAATCATGCAATATTTGTCCTTTTGTGTCTGTCTTCTTTCACTTCGCATAACATCTTCAAGGTTCATCCAGGTTGTAGCATGTGTCAGCATTTCATTCCTTCTTAAGGCTGAATAATATTCTATTGTGTGTATATACTGCATTTTGCTTATCCATTCATCCATCGATGGATATTTGGGCTATTTCCCTGCTTCTTTCCTTGAACTACCTGCATTCATTTTGCCATGATCTTGAACACTTAATCTAAAGCCTTGTCAACCACACTATTTGAGATAAGTGGAAAGTTTCAGGTCTGATCCATGGCTTTTATTTCTTCTAAATTATTTTCAGATTGTTTTCAGAGGGAGGCAACATTTCTTCTGAAGAAATTGACTCACCGTGTCATCGACTGGAGAAGGAAACTGCCCGGACAGAGTTTGTTGAAAGTTTAATCATGATCAACATGGAGAAGATGGAGAGCGAGTACCCGGACCAGGTGAGTGAGCCCGGCCCCACCCTCCAGCCAGGCTCCCAGGGCCCGCGGCTACAAGGCAGGCGCCTGGCTCATCGTCTGATGGGCCGGTCAAGCCCCCTCTCCAACCGTTATTTGAGCCTTCCCCTCTGCTTCCAAAGCCCAAAAGTTCCAAATTAAGCCCCCCTCCTTTACTTCTTATATTCCTTTACAGGCCAATGATGTCATCAGTGTTTGACAGTAAATTCCATAACCTGTCTGTGGACCTTATTTTCGTAGAGAAAATCCAGCATTTGCTCACAAATCTGCAGGTGAACATCCAGCGTGAGGTAGGACGGATGTGTTCTTCCTCTGGGAGATGTTTATCTCACACAGCTGCGCACCAGGCACTGTCCAAGGTGCTGGGATCCCGGTGTGGGCTCTGCGGGTGGGACCTGCACTCCAGCCAGGACGAGAGAGGTTAAATCGTAATAGCCTCTGACACTCGCTGAGTTATTATGCACCATGCACCCTGCTACCTGACTTATTTTGATTAGCTGTGTTAGTCCTTACAAGGCTGTGTGAAGCAAGTACTGTTTTTATCCCCGTTTTAGAGAGAAAGAAACTGAAGCAGAGTAATTTAGTGGCTTAGGCGAGAACACAGAGCTCCTCCACGGTGGAGCCACAGTGTGAAGCCAGGTCTGACTGACACCAGAACTTACGGCCTCCACCACGAACAGACCATCTGGGCCACAAAAGGGGAAGAGGGCCATGTGAGGTGTGTGGGGCGGAGGGGAGAGGACTGAACCTGGGCTGGGAAAGTGGTGCTTCCCAAGGCTGGATGGGGAAGTAGGAGCCAGCCAGGCAGGAGGGGAGGGAGCAATGTCCTGAGAGATCATGCAAAATCCTGGTGGGGCAGAGCCGAGAGGAGAGAGCTGGAGCGAGAGAAAGTGGGGAGCCATGAGGTTGGAGAGGCGGCTGGGCCAGTGATCAGGGCCAGGCCGGCCGGGCTCCTGGCGCTGAAATGACAGTCATGGCAGTGGGCACTGGGGAAAGGGGCTCTTTGTACAATTTTTTAAGCTGGATAATCTTTAAAGATTCTTCAAAAACACCAACTGATGGCTTCCCTCTCCTGGAAGTGTTGACGTTTTTACTTAGCCATCCCTTTTTGGAGGAAGATTTGGTGGATGTCACTTATTATGATACCAATGGGGTGGTAAATACGTGTGCACAGGAGACTGATTATGGCCATAGGAGATGTCCCAGAGCTGGAATTGCCGGCTTAGGGCGTGAACATTTTGAGGCTCTTTGTGCTTTTCAGGTGGCTTCTACAGACATCCCCTCACCAGCAGGGCCTGAGCATGTCCTCCTAACTCCTCACCAGGACTGTGGGCTGCTAATCTTACGTTTAAACCTCATCTATTTGACGGCAAAAAAAAAAGACTTTTAATTTTGCCTTGGTCTAGTTTCCGATAAAATTGTATATTTTCCCCCCGATGTCATTTTTCCAGTACTTAATCCATCTCTCAGATAATATGTTTTGCTGAACATTCTCTTGATCAAAATAAGTATTCTGGAAACAAGTATTAGATAACAAATATCTGTTCTTTCTAGGTGGCAAAATCCAATTCGCAATCAGATGGATTAAATTCTTCTCTGGAACAGCTTCAAAGCCAGGTGGAAATGTGTCGAAACTCAAGGGGAGAGAAGACAGTAAGTGCTCAGTGGGTGCTCAGCTATGAGGGCGCTCGGGACTGTATTTCCATGCAGATGTCTCTACACCTCCCCTGGGGACAGGGAAAAGAGGTTAGTCTGCTGTGACCCTTTCTGCAGGCCCTTTCGGGACAGCCCTGCCCCTCCGGAGCAGAAACGTTTGCTCTCCCACGTTTCCTTGCCTCCCAGCTCCCTCCTGCCAGGGTGTGGGGCAGGCTCTGGGGGCTTGCACAGCCTCCTGGCCAGGTGGGGACATGAGCCCGGGTGGGCAGGCGGTCCTGTGCCACTGGAGGGCGCTGCTGGGCCACCTCTGCAGAGCAGTGATTGTGATTGGCCGTGATCATTGGATGCAGGGTGAAGGCCGTGGGGACCAGGGACGGTGTGAACAGGGCTGTGTGCTCAGTGCCTCACTGAGGAGGGCCTCCTGCTGCTGGGGGCAGAAAGGCAGGGAGGGAGGTGGAGCGAGGCAGGATGTCGACACTGAGGCGGAGAGAATAGTGCCTGGACAAGGTGCCAGCAGGGCATGTTCCACTTCCAGAGCTGAGTGGCAGGGGATGGGCGGGACTCAGAGTGCAGTGGAGATGAAGGAAGCGCTAGAGGCCGACGCGCCTCCTGGCTGGGTCATCTACCAGGTCAGCGAGCCCCTCAGGGAACAGTGTGTGAGGACTGCTAAGTGGCGTGTATGAAGATGAACATCCTCTCGGCTGCTTCCCTGAGCGCCTGTGGGGCACGGTCTGTGGGACTGCTGCTGGGGGCCGGGGCGGGGGGCAGTGTATTTGACATTGTCATGGAGATGGCCAGATCAGCCCCAAGAAACGCTGTGGCCATTTCACTCCTACACACTTGCCATCTTGGACCAAACCTTTCCTTCTAAACGTAGAGTGCTGGAGCTAGAAGAGCCCCCTGGAAACGTTCTGTGTCCCCATCACACAGCACTCCTGGTGCCCCGTCAGTGAAGGATCTGCTGTCCCAGAGCAGCTGCCCGAGAGCCAGCCCAGTGTCCCCCTCCCCCAGGGCCCTCCCTGCAAGTGAGGGGCCCCCATCGAACCAAGAGATGTTCTGACCAGGCAGCCCCCGTCCCTGTGGTGCAGATGGAACCAGCCTGCCCTCCCGCAGCCTGCTTCCTGGGGCTTTCTCCTCCATGTTCTGCTAGATGGTGACCACGGAAGACCTCCTTGGGTTTGTCCAAACTTGGAAAGAAAAACTGAGCCAGAGGATTCGGTACCTCAACTGCAGGCTGGACACAGTGTCTGTGACTCAAGTGGTCTTCACTGTAAGGAGGGGATGGGGCGGTGGGGAAGGGTGGGGGAGCTGTTTTGTCTGGGCTCCTAGGACACCCACGGGGCTCAGCAGAGCCTGGGGGAAGAGGGGCTCCCAGGCCCCTGCTGGACATCAGGCCTACTGGGATGCCTTGGAACAGCCACAGGCTGTGGAGCCAGATCTGAGTTCAAATCCCAGATGGGCCACTTCCCTGCCCTGGTCTCTTAGGAGACCCCCTTACCTCTTGGCACCAACTCCTCACCCCCATCGGGACCCTCAGCTCACCTCACCCATCCACAGACCCACCTCTCAGCCTCTTACTGCTCACCTGCACCCGTGAGCAGCCACTGGCCTCTGTCCACCCCACCCCCACTGCCTCGTCCAAGCCCACCCCCCCATCCTATCTCTTGCCCACCTGGCTGCCCTTATCCTGTCACTTCTCTCCATGATCCATTCCCTGAGCTGCAGCCAGACCTAACTCTGGAAAAGGCCAGCCTAACTGTGTCACTCTCCTGCCCTGAGGGTAAAATCAAACCCTTTAACTGGACCTACACCGCAGCCTGTGCTGTCCACCCTCCGCGGCCTCTTTATGTCTCTGCACCACCCCCCCCAGACACCACTTCCCCCCGGGCCTTCTTCCACCCCTTGGTCTGGTCGAGGCCTCCTGGTCCCCATAGCGCCTCCCACTTCCCTCCTCACCTCGGGGCCTCTGCTCTTCTCCTGCGTGATTGTCACCCAAGGGCTTGAGGAGACACTGGAACTGGGGAGAAGATTCCGTGAAGGCCTTGTCCAGTGACAGTGCCACCTCAGCAAGGGCTTCCCAGGATCTCCCCTTCCCAGGCCCCTACCTGTGCCCCTAAATGGAGGCCAGAGACCACCTTGTTGCTTTACCGGACTCTGTCCTCAGAACGCGCAGCCTGTGCTCACAGCTCTGAGACTCCAAGTGACCCAGTGAGTGCCCGGCTCTGACGCTGGCTTTGGTCAGATCTGCCGGCTGACTCAGCTCACACGGGCGTCCACTGTGAGAAGCTGTCTGAGTTCAGTGGTTTTCCATGGTGACAGCTGGTGGAGCCGAGCCCAGCTACCTCCCTACACACATCATCCTGGTCAGAAACGGACATTGGAGATGCATTTCTTTGGGTTGCATCACGGAGCCGCAGGAGGAGTCCTGGGCCTCTGCATCCTGGCCATTGCTCTGTCCACTGTGCCCTATGGTGTCATTAGACTCATAGCTCAGTGAAAGTGGGCCCTGGCTGACCCCTGACTCTGATGTTACAGAAGGTGGATGACAGAAGCCACATGGCTGAGCGGACTTTCTGGGTCCTCTGTGGGCCCTCGGTGACATGGCTTAATTCCTGGTTTTGAGGAAGTGGCAGTGAGGAAATTCCTGCTTTGTAAACCTCCAGAAGGTCTTTTTGAACACAGAGCCATCTGCAGTGTGGAAATGAACACCGCCAACCAAATGAGAAAGGCAAAGGCTATTTCTTCAGAGCTTGCTCCCGCAAGGGAGGCAGCCGCCAGCACCTGCATTTCAGCAGAGCCTCAAAGGCAGGCAGAGGAGTGGGAAAGCCGTCCGGGGGAGAAAAGGAAGGCTCCAGGTGTGCCCTGCGTGGAGGCTGTCGGCCTGGGGAGGCTGGAGGCAGGCCAGCTGGCAGGGGCATGTACGTGACTGTTTAGGACACCTATTCGGCCTTCTCTGGTTGGTCCTCAGTTGGAAGCAGGGACAACACTGAGGGAAGCTGTCAGTTCTTAATCAAGTCTTGGCCATTTGGGGCTGATTGTTACAGGAGTTATTGTTCAGCTTTCTGGACCTTCACTAGAGGTGACAATCTGGCTTCCTGCGAGTCTGCCTTCCGGCAGGCTGGCTTCCCGAGCTGTTTACTATAATAAGGAGCTCACTTCCTGGGCAGTTGCTGCAGGCTATGGGTCAGAGTTCTGTATTCATCTGTGGTCCAGCCCTTGTCCACTTGCAGATTCAGTCTCTTAGCGGTTACAGAATGAAGTCCCTGTTGCTAGAGCTGCCGGATAAAACTTCAGGATGCCCAGTTAAATGTGAATTTCAGATAAACAACACATAATATTTTTAGTACAAGTATGTCCCAAATATTGCATGGGACATACTTAAGACTAAAAATTGCTCATTGCCTTTGTGAAATTCAAGTTTAACTGGGCGTGTTGTATTTTTATTTGAAAAGCTGGCAGCCCTACAGGTGGCTCGCCGTGTTTTCTTTGGGTCCTCACGACAGGGAAGCAAGGATACAGATTCCTGGCCCCTTGCCCCCTCAGCGGCCTTGGGTGGGTTTAGTGTAAAGGCTTCATCCCACGGCAAGGTTGTCTTCAGGGCTGTCGAGGAGCAGGGGGGCATCTCGAAGGGCTCGGCCCCAGACCTGGGAGTCAGGTTGCCCCACGGCAGGCCCAGTGCCTCTAGCAACCCAGGGAGGGCTCCCACAGGCTCAGACCTGCCTGTGTCTGTCCCCAGCCTCCAGAGCACTGACACACCTTTGTCCCCCAGCATCACTCGGTACTCCAAGCCCAACCGGACAGACAGAAAGTACCAGGTACTCGGGGACAAGCCACCTCCTCCGGCTGAGTAAGTGACAACGCCTTTGTCCATTAACTCCATTTTACCTGTTGTCTCTGTCGGGGGCGGTTCAACTTGACTCAGCTGAGGGGAAAATAAGAAGTGGGGGCAGAGAAGGAGGGGTTGGGAGGGGACAGGCAAGGGTCAAAGTCAGTTTGTCTCAACCCATTTCACCTAAATTGGTTGAGAGACATTTTCACCAACTTTTCACATTTTCCAAGCTAAGCATTTTCTGGCAGCAGGGCAGCGTGCCGCTTTGAGGTTTGGGTATTTTTGCAATTTTTTCATGCTTCCCCCTCCCCCATTCCTCTTTTCCTTTACTTTAATTTCAGTGATTAAAACAAAATCTGTTCCACTTAATATGGCTACATCTCAGCAAACAAGCAAAATGTCAACTTCAACTGAAAGCCCTCCGAGAAGGTTGAGGTCTACAATGGGCCCCGTCCCTCAGTCAGGAAGCCCACTGTCACAGCGCCCCCACTCACCAGTCGTTTTGTCCACGGCTCTCGCCTCTGGGGTTCTGTGCACCGTGCAGAGAAGGGCGGCTTTTGCATCAGGCGGCCCTAGTTGCATATAAGTCAGCAGGTGGACGCTCCCTCGTCCCACGCTCCAAAAGACTTTCTTCGTCATTGAAACCTTGACCCTCTCCATTTTTTATAGTTCTGTCATTTGATCACGGGTTTTGATTTTTGTAACTGTCACCACAATCAGGAAACAGAACTGTTCCTCCACCCCCGAGTCCCCTTCACAGCCACGCCCACCCCGTCTCCCTCGCCATCCCTAACCCTGAGCAACCACTAACCAGTCTTCCACCCTACAACTGTGTCACTTCAAGAATGTCGGATAGCTGGTCTCATCCAGGATACGATCTTTTCAGAGTGGCTTTTTGCACTCCACGTAATGCCCCTGAGAGCCATCCGAGTTGTCACGTGTATCAATAGTTCCTTCTTTTGTGTGACTGAGTAGTAATCCATGGTATGGAAGCACCACAGGTTTTTGTGATTAAAAAAAAAATCATAGGCTGAACCCAAAAACTCAAGCATTTATTGAGTCTCTGAAAGGGAAGACTTTCCTGGCATGGCACAGTGGCTATTGCTCAGGAATAGAATCAGACCGGTCATGTTTTACCCCCACATGGAATCTGGCTAAGCGACTTCTCCCAAGGCCTCAGTCTTCCCCTCTGCACAGTGGGGAGAAGAGACCCCTCCTCTCAGAGCTGCAGAGAGGAGCCAGCGAGTCACCTGCTGGCCTCCCTTGAGCAATACAGGATTGTCACACCGAGAAGCCCTGGATGAAATCACAAGGGAAACATGGAAAATGTCGGCAAATAAATTTTTAAACTCCTCTGGGTTAAAGTGCGATTAAAAGTTAGATAACAACCAGCCAGGAAACAACAGCGGTAAACAGGCCGACATGAGAAAAGGCCTTTAAAAACTGGCTGCCTCTCCCGTCCCCCAGCAAATTGCTAAGGAAACCTTGAGAGCTCAGGAGGGTCAGGGAAGAGGGGAGAATTTGAAGAGACCATACCCGAAGGAGGAAATAAAATTAGAACAGACACATGGGGAAAACACTCTCATTAGAATGCAAAGAAATGAAAGTGGAACAGGTCTGTTCCGTATTTCGCCTGAGACTCACCAGTATATAAATAGATTTTAGTAGAAGTTCCCAGTATATCAAGGGAGGATGGAGGGGGTCCCTCCCAGGCACTGCAGGTGGGAGGTGTTAAAGAAAACATTATTCTGGCACTTGTTCAAACAGTAAGGAAGACTTTCTATGGGGCTATTGCAATAGGTGTCAAGACTGTCATAATAGGAGAGAGAGATGGGGCTCAACTCCAAATACAACAAGGACAAGCGGGGTCTACAGCCAACGCACAGACGGAGGGGGCAGTGGATGGAAAGAAGGTTCAGGGGTTGTAGAATTCTTGCTGCAGGCAGGCCAGGGTGAGCAGACATCAAGGGCAGAGGACTGTCTCTAAACTGACTTAGCAGGATTCTTGCTAAAACAGGACCCAGTAGGCCAGACAGTGCCCAGCGAAGAGGCCTAGTCAAAAAGCGGGCTCAGAGGAGCCTGTCTAAAGTTTGGTCAAGGAGACAGTCTCTGTCAGTCCTCTTAAGTCTCTGTCCCCTCTTCTCTGACCCTCCTGAGCTCTCAAGGTTTTCTTAGCAATTTGTCAGTCCTCTTCCTGTTCAAGGAAGGAAGAGACATTCTTCCTTCCTTTGAACAATGTAAGTTCATTTCCCCTTCAGTCGCCTTTTCTTCATTGAGGACAAGCTGAACCATCTGTTGAGACGTGGTGGCACGGCAGCCAGTCAAGATTTCCAGATGTTGGGCCTGAAGCATCGTGAGTGGCCCACACAGCAGCAGCTCCAGGCATTCAGGTTGCCCTTCGTCCAGCTCAGCTTGTAGGGCTTCTTTAGATCTGGGGGGAAAGCCAGCCACAAAGCAGCCTAATGTCCCAATAAGGATCTGCATAGTCAAGTTTTAGTTCTCAGTGGGATCAAGTCAGGAGGACGGGAGAAAAACTGAAAACGTCAATTCGAAGACTTGCAGCCAGATATTGAAGGAAGCTAGAAGAATTGAGAATTTGGCAAGGATTGACAGAAGGTATAAGATGTCAAGATCCAGTCCAGTCCACAGGTGGGTAACAAAACCTCAAAGACAAGGAATAGGGGTAGAATCTGTTATCCCACAAGAGGGTGCTCTGGTTTTCCATTGAAATGTAAAATTTCTGTCATCCCTTCTTTCTGATTCTTGTTTACAAAATAAGTCTGATCTCATTAGATTTGGCCTGAGTATTTACGTAAGTGCAGCAAGAATGGTAATTGACCACACAGACCTTTTTAAGTTTGTGTTGCTGGAACTTTTCATAAGGAATCTCAGATTGGACTTTTAAAAGCCCCCTGTGGCTGGGACCCCAAGCCAGATTCACTGGTGATACCTGTAGATTTGGGTGAATCCCTCTCTTCTTGAGGTCCCCACGATATCCTACGGTTCCTGGGCCTGCCAGGAAGTGGCCTTCCTCACTCACCTGTGAGGCTGGGAACCCTGTAAGCCAGGTATCAGACTGGTTTTCCCAAGAAGGCTTTGTAAGTATTGGTTCCATCAAGTCAGCTTTAGCTCCTTAAAACTCTTTCGTCAAATCTGATTCTCTGCATCGTTCTCCTTATGACATTCCAGTCAAAGCCTTGGTTATGTATCAAAGTTTCCAATTATGTCCCCTTACAAGGAGGACAGATTCTTATTGAGCTCATGTAAGTAATTATATTGCCATGATAATAAGTATACTCAGTAAGAGCTTTTGAATTCTGGAGTGTGTTAGAGTGGATAAAACATCCAGCCTGTTTCCAAGCACCTCTTTTTCCTGTTCAGCCTCAGGCAGCTGCTTTCAGGAGTTCCTCAGTTCCTTGAGAGCCTGGCTGGGGACAGGAGGTCTGAACTCCAAGTGACTGCAGGGAGCTGAGGGCTGGAGTGGGAGGGCGACAGTCTGGCAGGGGTGGACAGAGGGATGGAAGAGCAGACGTATCGAAGGATCAAGGGGACTGAAGGCTAGACCGAAGGTGGTAGGAGGAGGACGGAGGAGCAGAGGTGACGGCAAGGGAGAGGTCTTACCTGAGCCAGTTTGGGAGATCTTAAGTTTTCCAAAGAAACCAATGGGGTTCCAAATTATCCTTGGTAACATCATGCCAGTGGCATGGATCCCACAGTGGAAGATCGTTTGGGAAGGTATAGAGAAAGCATACAAAGGAGCTGTCCAATGCTTGGTCAAGGAGACTGCTTTTGTCAAGATCAACAGCAAACTGTCTTTCCAGAAAGCGTTTTGGGAAGGTAGAGTGAAAGCCATGGAATTATGCCTTTTGTGCAACTCCTCAGGTCTCTTTCCCGAGGAAATCATCCTATCAAGAAGAAAAGACTTACACAAAAATATACCACACAATACTTTTCATCACAGCTAAAAATGAGAAAAAACCTAAAGGTCCAAAACTAGGGGATTGTAAACCATGGTGCCTACATACCTAATGGTGTCACACAGCCATTTAAAACGGTATCGTGATGTGGGGACACTTTCCAGTGAGCAGAATGCAAAACACTCATGAACCTAATTCCAAACTGATTTTAAAATCAGCAAAAGGAAATAAAATAAAATGTTTGTATTCATTTTTCCTTCTTGTTTTTCAGTATATTTCTAATTTTCTTCATTATGATGAATGAATTTTAAAATGACAGATCGAGTGACCTATACACATATATTTAGAAATTGGCCGACAATGATGTGTGTATACAGCAGTCACTGTGTCACTTTACTGACATTGTGGAAAAGTAAGTGTCCTCAGCTGCATGCAGTTCTAATACGTCTGTGCCTCATCTCACTCTCACTATTGAGATGGCTGACCTAACCTAGACAGGACTACCCACTGGATCCGGGCAAATCTGTTTAGTAAAGCCCAGGCATGCACACAGTCAGCCTAAAGGCCAGGGGTACCAGAAGGGGGATGTATGGTCCTACAGGAAGTCCTGCTCGTCTGATTAACATTGTAAGAAATCATTCCTTCTTTCACCCAGTACTGAGGCGCTGATCGATGCAGGCCCCGCTCTGGGGCTGGGGATTCCACGGTGAACAAAAGCACACGCCCACGGTCTGTGTCCTGGTGGACTTTACCATCTGCAGGGAGAGGTGGAGATCAATCAGCCAGTCACACAAATCAATCCCAAGTCCCCCTGTGGGGAGCGCTGTAGGGCTGAGGGCCACTCTGAGAGATTGGAACGAGGTGAGCAGGAATTGCCACCAAGCCAGGATCTGAGGAAGAGCAGGAACAAATATGACCAAGAGGAAAGTTAGCAGTGTTCTCTGTAGAGAACTCAGTGTGTGCAAAGGTCCCTGAGCTAACATCTGTGCCCCTGGCGTTAACACTCCCACTCTGCCCGCTTGTGCCAGCTTGCCCGACAGGAACCTCCTGAGGTGCCAGAGAGAGCCCTCAGGCAGGAGGGGTTGGAAGGGGATGCTGTCAGCCTGCTGGAGCCCAGCTCCCCAGCCGCAGCTGAACACGGGTGGGCCAAGGGGGTATGAGCGCAGCACCAGCAGCGTCAGCACCCCAGGTTTCCCGAATCCAAGGGCAGGACCCGGCCGCACCGCTCTGCCGCGCCGCCCTCCTTCCTCAGCGCAGCAAGTCACGTCTGCAGGGCCCTCCCAGCTTGCAGCGTGCTCTGCAGGGCCACGATCTCATCCAGTCCTGCCTGGGAGGGGTGGCAGTAAGCTACTTTGTAAATCAGGAAACCAAATCTCAGAGAAATGAAATGAAGAAGTCTCCGAAGTCACTCAGCAGGAGAGTGACGCAGCCATGGTTCCTGCCCAGCTCTGGCTGCCCCATTGGTGCGCCTGCCCCCGAAACTCCACCTGGAGGTACGGAGTAAGTAGGAAAGCACCCAGCAAAACGAGGGGTGCTACATCTCCCCTCTGCCACCCCCAGAGTCTCTGCACCTCTCACACCCTCCTGCCAGGCACTGGGCAGAGTGCACAGAGAGCAGGACGCAGACCTGGACAAGGGACAGCCTGTGGCCAGTCACTCTCCACCTCCTTCATCTGGGCAAGGCCCTGGTGGGTACGGGAGGCTGGAGGAAGCAGGCCTGCTGTGGCAGGAGCAGCTGGGTGAGAAGGGCACCTAGTGACATAACCTGAGAGCCTGGCCCAGCTCAGAGCAGCTGGCAGCAGTGGGGTCACCATGTCATGTGGCCAGACTCTGAGAACGGGGTAGGAATCATCTGCTAACTACCCTTAGTGTGAACCGGGGGCTTGTGGGCAAACCTCGATTCATCAGGAGCCTCAGGAGACAGGCCTATGACTCCCCCATGCTCCAGAGGGGAAACTGAGGCACCAAGATCTCTCATGGCCAGTAAGCAGCAGAGCTGAGGTTAAAGCCAAGTCAGCCTGGTCTGAAGGCTCTGGGCTTTGCCCAGTCTCCTGCCTCTTTCTCTGCCCTCGGCTGGCTCAGCCTCCCCACCAGGGGACGTGGAACCCCGTGCACAGATGCCAGGGGCCCAGGAGGCACCTACACAGCTGTTCTGGGAGACCTTAGCCTCCCTCCTGGCCTCTCTCCCCGACACCAGGCACATCCTGTCCTCCTCGCCTGTGTCCCGCCCTGTATCGCCTGTCCCCTAGCCTGTCCCTGGCCTGTTTTCTGACTTGACCGTGGCCTGTCCCATCTTCTGTTCCCTGGCCTGTCTCCTGGCCTGTGCCCCTTTGACCCCAGCCCAGCTCCCTGCTGCTCATCTTAGAGGTGCTTTGGTACCTGCCTTCTGGGCCCTCCTTGACTCTGAGGGGGATGTAAAGACTGGGACCGGCCCACCACAGCTCAGACAGAGCCTACAAACAGCGGCAGTGCCAGGGAGAAGGAGCCGCAGAATTGGGAGGTCTGGGCCAGCCCTCACTGCCGTGTGACCTCTGAGCCCAGTTCCCTCACCTGTCCACTGGGGACGCAAACCCCACTCTCCTCGCCACTGTACCCAGTGAGGCCCTGCTTGGTTAGCTTCTCTCTCTCTCTCTTTCTCTCTCCGTCATGTCTCTGGATCTGGGGAAGCAAGCACCCATGTTTTGAGCTGCCCTATGTAGAGGCCCCCAGAGGAGAGGACTGAGGGAGTGCCTGGGCCAACAGACAGACAGGAAGTCAGGCTCTAAGTCCAGACTGGATCCTGACAATACCCGCGTGAGTGAGCTTGGGAGCAGATGCTCCCACAGTCGAGCCTCAGTTGAGACGCAGCCCCAGCTTCAGAGAGACCTCGAGGCAGAGGCACCCAGCTAAGCTGTGCCCAGACTCCTGGCCCACGCAAATTGTGAGATATTCAATATTTGTAATTTTATAAAGGTGCTAAATTGCGGGGCAGTGTTGTCAGAGAGGAACAGATAACCAACACGGTCTACCAGGCCCCAGGATCTGATCCTGCCCTCCTGCTCCCTGCCCTTCTCTCTCCTCCCAGGCTCCCCCAGCCACGCAGCCACCTTTCTAACCTCCTCTGGCCAGACTCACTTTGGCCTGCCCGTCCCTGCACCACTGGGGCCTTCTCCTGACACACTGTTCCCAGACTTATGCAGGCTTATCATTCTGGTCCCAGCAAATGTCACCTCAGGGAGGCCTTTCAGACCCTCCTGTCCAGTGACCGCCAGCCGTGCCTCACAGCCCCCGGCTTTATTTTAGGTACAGCACCTGTTCTTTTCTTTCTCCTGGCTTTGCTTTCCTGCTTTCGTCCACCTCCCCTCCAGACTGTGAGCTCCTAGCGGGCCACTCAGTCATTTTCAGCACCGCACTTGGCCCGCCAGGGCATCTGGCTCAGGTGAGTGCTTGGCGCACAGCTGGTGAGTGAAGAATACACGGGAGGATCTTAGAGCCCCTTTTCCTGACTCTGACCAGTTCAGTCTGTGGAGATGGATGCTAGTAACAGGAGGCACAAGTTGGTTCTGAGGAGGGGGCAGCCAGGACGACCTCTGCATGACCCTTCCTGCTCCAACTGCTCCAGCAAAGAAAGCTGTGTGGCCCCCGCTGACTCTGGAGGCTGCCTGCCCCCTGGTGGCCAGAACCAGCACTGCAGCCCAGGCAGGAGCACCACGAAACAAAACGGGCACCTCTATTTGGGGGACCTCAAGGCAGTGGCTTTCCAAGTCCCAGATGAGCAAAGGAGCAGGACCTTCAGGCTTACAAGGCAGTGCGAGGGACCAACCCTGGGGGACCCCATGCATCACAGTGTCCATGGCCAGGTGCACACGAGGGGCCCTGTGGGAGGCCCAAGAAGAGTGCATGTACGTGAGCACTCACATTGCTGTATGCACATGTGCAATGTACCAGTGGCTCTGCACACAAGGTTCGTCTCCTGCAACCAGCTCTGTGAGCCCCACAGCTGCTGGGGGCTGGGTCGCATGTTCACTACGAGACCCGGGAAGTGGTGTCAGTCTCACTTAACCACTAAGACTCAGGGTAGGGAAGGGGCAGTTCCCCAAAGAAAAACTCATGTGCTTTTCCCAAGAGAAGAGGGCATGGATGTCAGCCAGGCAAAAGCACCAGATCTCAGAGTCATACAAGCCACCTCCACATCTGCCTCAGCCACTGTGCACAAGGGGCCATGTCCCAGAGAAGGGATCTGTCTTGTCCAAGGTCACATAGTGATTCAATGGCAAAGCTCATAATTTGGTTAGGATTAGATTTGGCTATGTATATTAGAAAACGCCAAATAATGGTGGCGTAAACAAGAGAGACTTACATCTTTCTCATAAAAACGAACCCTAGAGGTGGGCAGTCCATGCTAATCCTGGACTGCTCATCGCGGAAGATCACAGATCATTTGTCCTTCTGCTCCAGCATCTTGGTATGTGGTTTCCATCATCAAGGCTGTCCCTGGTCCAGGATGGCTGCTGGGGCTCTGGCCTGGACCAGCCACCACATCTGCATTTCAGATGGCAGCAGGAGAAAAGAATGAGGGCAAAGGGGGCCCTGCCAGCTGTGTGGATTTCATCTGACCAGCCTCCCCAAAGTCCCATACCACGGGACTGGTCACACGTCACTGGCCTGAACTTCGTCTGGTCATTCTTAGATGCAAGAGAGGTTAGGAACTCTAGTCCTTCAGCTGGGTGAATTGTTGCCCTGATTAAAACTGTCTCTGTTTTTAAGCAAAGGGAGAATGAAAACCATGGCAACCACCAGTGCTCTTTCTCTACCAGAACTCCAAGATGAAGAGGAGGAGACAGGGTTATTTTCAGAAGTGTAGAGCATTTGTTTGCCAACCACAGCCCCTCTTTTCTTGGTTTTGTTCATTCACAGAGAAAACAAAGTCTTGGTTCCAAACCACCATATATGAGTGGGACCTCTGCTTTTAGTTCCCAGCAGAATTATTGGAACCACTGTGTTGGCTTTCATCTGCTTGTACCTTGTGAGTAGATCTGAGCAAATCCTTTTCTATTTCATAAATGGAGTCGGGTAGGGGTAGGGGTCATGAAGACTTTTAAGCAAGCAGCATGTTCCTAAAAAGCTGATCAAAATTATCTCTGTAAATCAAAGAGTAGAGTGCGTTGACCCGATTTTTGACCCTCATGGTGACTATGCTAGTAAAAATAATCCACATAAAATAAAATTGATAGTGGTTAAAACTGCTCACAGTAAAATGTACCACTGACATAAAT